CTGCGTGAAACACACAAACTTCACGCATGCGTGGAGTGTATGGAGTGTACGGGAGTGATTCACGCAATGGTGCGAATAGTCACGGCCATAACTTATTCTATTGAAATATTTTCTACAGAATTTTCTCGGCTCAAATTTTTTGTTTGATTTTCTTGATGAGAAAAAAATGGAACGAAAAAAACAGAAAATTTAAGCCGAGCAAACTGTATTGAAAATATATAAAGAGAATAGGGGAGATTGGGGCAAAATAGGGTGTTTCGTGATCTTCTCTAATTGTCAATATTCTCACTTATAATTGAAGATATTGACAACTGAAAAAGATCTCAACACGTCCCATTTTGTCCGCCCCTCTCCTAAGTTGTACAGAAAAATCGAATTCTCTTGACTCTTTCTATTAAATATTTTCCATTGAACACTTCAATAGAATCGGCCAAAAACTAGGAAAGTTCAATGGAAATCCAATAGAATTTTCTAACGAATTCGCTAGGTTTTTCTATTAATCTTTTTCGTGCGTGTCTGAATAAAACAAATTAATTCCGCTGAATATTCCAGCAATTTGGGACGCAATCACTACTCCGGGATCACAAATGCAGCCTGCCTGCCCCCCACGACGAAAAAACTGACCCCTCCACCAACCGATTAGTCCATGTGGACCTGGGCCAGCAATTGTTCGAGTTAGAAATCGACTACTTATCCCAAAAAGACCTGGACCAATCACGAAGCGTGAGTTCTCTCGACGAGTCCGTGGAAGTTTGTTTAATAAACAAAGATTTAATCGAGCCCTTGGACCTGCAGAGTCTAGGCGATCTGCACAGTTCCTTCAATCTGTCAGGATCAACTAATCCTCCGAACGAGACTCAGAGATTTCCCGAGGATTCTGACCTCGAGCAAGTGAAACCCTCGGACTTTCTGACAACTTTCGAGGAAATCATAGGATACCATGAGAACCAGACCCCAGGGGTGCGACTGGTGCAGCATGAGGAGGGAGACCAGTTCTTCGAGCTCGTCAGAGACCCTCTGACGTACCTCGGAGACAGCAAAAGCTACGATAGAACGCAGGAAACTGACGATTCGAACAGCAATGGTATCGAGAATATCCAGGACCTGGCAAACGATAAAGTCACGACCAAGAAGAGAACCAGAAAGAAATCGTCGAGTGATAAGAGTAGAAGTCAAGAGCAGAAGTACGAGTGTACGATCTGCAAGAAAAAATTCTCGACAGCGTCGAACCTGAAGCAGCACACGGGCACCCACTTCCTGGATCAACAGAAGTTCCACTGCAAAGAATGTGGAATGTCATTCGCCTGGAAGTCAACTCTGAATAAACATCTGGCGAGCAACCACAGGCCTGATGGACCCCAGAAATTCGTCTGTGAGATCTGTCCCAGGGTCTACTCGACACTCTCTCAAGTCAATGAACATGTGAAGAGAGATCACCTGAAGGTGCGCAACCACGTGTGCGAGGAATGTGGGAAGTCTTTCTTCAAGAAGTTTGATCTGAAGTCCCACAGGAGAACTCATACGAAGGAGCGACCCTATGTCTGTCGAGTTTGTGATAAGACTTTCTACCATCAGAGCCATATCATCAGACACGAGAGGATCCATTCGGGGGAACGACCGTACTCTTGTGATTTCTGCCAGAAGACGTTCTCTCAGCTGAGCTCGTTGAGGGTTCATAAGCAGAGGCATCAGAATGAGACTAGGATGGATATCTTGGAGTATCAGAATAATGAGGACGATCCTATGGCATTGAACAGTTTTTGATGTTGTGGATTGATTATCAGAAGTGGATTTTTTGGAATTAATTTGGGAGTTTAGTTGGGGAGGAAACATAGTGAGTTTTTATTATTTATTTGTTTTATTTTCTTCTCTCATTCAAAAATTTAAGCAGGAAAAGTTGAAAAATTTGAGCTCAGAGATTTTTATAAAAAATATCTCAATAGAATTATTTGTATAGAAAAATTGAATTCTAGTAAATTTTTCCATAATCTTTTTCATTAGACATTTCAATAGAATCGGTCAAAAATTAATAGAAAGTTTCATAGAAATCCAATAGAATTGTCTAGCGAATTCAATAGGTTTTTCTATTAAATTTTTTCGTGCATAGCCCTCCATGGAAAATTACGTATTTTTCTAGTATATATATTGATGATTGATTGACGCATGGGACAATCCCAAAAAAATGAGATGTTTTGAAAAATCATTATGTATAGATTTTTTTTATAGAATGCATTTCCGATTGCACATTTTCTATTGAAAAAAGGTAAATATTTTTATTTGAATTTTTATAATGAAAGAAGAAACACAATACAGGGAAAAAAATTTGGAAAGTTTATGTCGAGGAATTTTCGTAGAAAATATCCCAATTGAATAATTTGTATGAAAAGAATCTATTGATTGTTACCATAAATATTTTCCAGCAAAAAAAAGACGCAGAAATTTTTTTTTTATTACAAACTAGCAGAATCTTCGATTGAAGTTCAGCGAAATATTTTCTTGCGTGATTACACGCATGAAACAATGGAATAGAAAAACCTAACGCTTTCTCCAAGATACTCTATTGAATATCTCTGCAATTTTGTAAGAATTATAGCGGAAAATTCTATTCGTTTTTTGCCCCAATTTTATTACAAATTATGATAAGCTCATTCTCTTCATTTTGTTCCTCTCAAAATTCTTGTGCACGAATTTACAAAGTTTTCATTTATTATTTCTACTATTAAAAAAAAAAAACAGTATAAAAACTTGGAAAATTTATGCCCAAGAATCTCTATAAAAAAATTAAAATCTATTGAATTTTTTCTATTCACTATCTCTTCTCTTGACAAAATGTCAGGGAAAATTTGTATAATCTTCGATACAATTACAAAAATCCGATGAAATTCAACAGAAATACAAAAGAATTTTTTAGGAAAGTTTTAATCTTTTTCTAAAAAAAAAAATATTTTTCCATAACAGTTTTTTATACGTCCAGGAACACTTGTTCAAAATTTATTCACCTACAAAAAAGGTCTCTGACATTTCCCTCTGCACTCACTCACCCCTGAAGTACAAACCCAATTGAATTAATCCCCAAAAATGTAGCATTTGAATTTCACGAATTTCATTTCCTTCCTGATAAAACAGATCTCTACTAGTACCGCATCCCCTTTCTGAAAACAATACTCAACTTCTACCACTGTCGTCGATTATTACAAAAAAACCAGTAGTCATTGATGTCAAGTGTCCAATCACGCGGGAAAATCCCCTAATTCACGTGAAACAATAAAAAACAACCGGAAGGATCGAGCGGCTCGAGAGAACGTGTAAGTATTATAAAACTTCCTCATCGGAGCAAATTTAGAGGTTATCCTCTCAATGCGTCTCTCAATTTCTAGCGCCCAAAAAATCCTAGAAATTTAATTAGCGATAATGTGGCCCTGGGTGATGGGTGTGCTGAGACGGTACGTCCCGATCATAACCCTCCCCTTCGCCGGTGTCGTTGGATTCGCTGGATATTATGTGGAGGGTTGGTTGTCCGATCGTTACACACCGGCAACAGCCCCAGTCAAAGACCAGCGTGAAGATAGATTACTGGAGAACATTGATACTGGACTAGCTAAGAAGAAACATAATCCCTTGGAAGTTAATCTGTCCCCGTCTTTGGCCTCTTGAGTATTTCATTTGAACCACACTACCTCATTTAGTTTAAATAAATAAATGTGTACATACGTATATATTTTTTCCATCGACATACATTCTCATTAATCTATAAACAATAATTGAAATTAATTAAACAATTCAAAGGATTATGTATAAAATAATTCAATATTTGATAAGGTAGGGGAGAGCGGGGCAAAATGAAACAGTCGAACATACGACTGTTTAACGCAATTCAAGCAAAAAAAATTGTTTTATCAACTTTTTTTTTATTATTGGGAGTACTGATCAGAATAATAATTTTCAGTTGAGAACATCGGAAATTAATGATTGATAATCTGGTTTAGTATCTGAGATTTTGGGCATGGAATGTTTTAAATTTCAGTATATTTCATGTACTTAAACTTGCGGTTGCGTTATGCGTTACCCTGGCGGACTTCTTGATTGCGCTTCGATCGGTTGTCGATTGAGAAATCGAGTTACTCAGTATGTCGATTAGAATTCGATTGTAATTCAGTTGAGATTTCGAATCAATGGTCAAATCCGTTGCAAGTGAATGATTGCAATCGACAACAAAAAATCAATTGCAAGTGAATTTGGGAAGGAAAAAAAATGGAAACGAATTTGGAACGATTAATCAAGTGGTCGATCATGAGTCGATCGGATCCCAATCGAGTTTCAATCGAATGCTAATCAACATACTGAGCAACTCGATTCCTCAATCGACAGGTCCGTCAGGGTAAGTCATGAACCGTGTATTTTTGTTTCTAATTGACTCAATCACTGAACATGCTCTTTCACCTTGATTAACGTTACTTCTGTTATTATTATTACGATTAATTTCAGTAGCGACGTGGTAAAACGGTACAAGTTAATTTTGAGTATTGACCAGTTTTCAATGAATATCTCGGAATCTAAGGCTGATAGCGAAGTATTTTTTTAGAACATGTTTGACGAGAGGATCTGTAAATTGGGTGGATTGTGGGAGGTGTTGGAGGATAGCTAAAGTAGGATGAACCGTGAAAGAAAAAATACTGAGTTTCCTAAAGTCACAATTTATTGGTGGCCAACAGCCACCAAAGTCTGAAAATATGTACACTTTATACACGGTTGAATGTCTAGAAAGTTATTTTCTTATTTATTTATTTATTCATTAGGTATTTATTTATTCGGTAGAATGGAAAATTATTGCGATGTTTTCACAGGAGATTTTGTCAATGTATTGATTGAAAAGAAAATGAAACAAAATCCAAAGTCCAGAGGAAGGCCCAGGGAGAGTCCCAGATTGGGAAAAAGGAAAATGTGATTTTTCATTCAATCGAATGAAAAAAAAAGTGTAATCTCCCTAATCTAATCAATTGAATTATGAGACGAATAAAACATGATTATTCTCATCAGTACTTCCAATAATAAAAAAAGTTAATAAACGAAAGTTGATGAAAAACAATTTTTTTGCTTGAATTACGTGAAATAGTCGTTTTACGGCTGTTTCATTTTGCCCCACCCGCCCCTATTGGTGCATTTTAGTGAGTACTCGATTCAGTAGTTTAATAATAAATGCAATCATGGGGGAATTGAATTGCATCACACTGAGACCCAAAATTATTTTTTCCAAATATACATTTACTTGAGAGAAGTATTTAGTTTTTCAATACTGTATTTTTCCAGTCAATCCTCATTAGGTTTCAATTATGACAATTATATTGCTCTTGAAGATGATTATATTAGTTGTCACCTTGACTGAACTCCCTCAATAATTATTGACGTTAAAAAATTAATCGAAATTCTTCCCTCTAGAAGATGAGAATTTTAGGAAAAATGAATCATCATTGGAGGAGTTCATGCAAGGTCATGTGCAACACCATCATCCTCTAGAGAAATATTGTTGTCATAATTGAAACCTAATTCGGCTCGCCTATGAATGATTCGATATAAAATCAAGGATTGTATAAAAAACAATACAATGATTCCACTGCCTTCGTTGGTCTTAATTGAGTGATCAATTTCATGACTGAATTGATGAGTGATTGCATGTCTTCAACCATTGAATAATCATATTAATTATTGAACTAATCAAGCCTTTGATCCCATTCCGACGACAATACATTTATCTTCATTATAAATCGTATAATTCAATTTCTCCAGTTCATCATCATTCGCATCACGAAACATATAAAATCTGTGAAGATTGTTTACAGAGTAATGCAATCATTTGGTTAGATATTGTCTCATTTTACTAAGTAATTGATTCAATAGTTGAATAATTAATGCAATTATTGGATGATTAAATTACATAAATACACGTGGCGAACCAAATTGAAGTAATTGTACATATTCGTGAAGTTTGGAGATAGTTGTAGCATTTATCACCCCTGAAAAATCCCGGAATATATTCTTATTTCTTCATTCATTCGAGAATGGTATGAAAAATAGTACGACCATTCCATTAAAAATTGTTCCCTTTTATTGAGTAATCAATTCCATAATTGAAGTGAAGAGTAACTGCATAATCTCTACAGCTATTGAAAAATCAAATTAATTATCCACTCAAGCTTTTCATTTCATTCCCCATCCATTTACACAACTTCATGATAAATCACACATTGTAATTTTCTCAATTCCTCGTAAATCATACAAAATCTGTCAACATCACATAAAAGATGAAGCAATAATTAGCATCAGATATTGTTGCATTTTATTGAGTAATTGATTCAATAGTTGAATAATTAATGCAATTATTGGATGATTAAATTACATAAATATACGTGTTGAAACAAATTGAAGTAATTGTGCATAATCATGAAGTTTGGAGATAGTTGTGGCAATTTTCGCCCCTGAAAAATTCTCGCATTTGTTCTTATTCCTTCATTTATTCCAGAATTGTAAAAAAATAATACAGTTATTCCGTTAAAAATTGTTCCCTTTTATTGAGTAATCAATTCCATAATTGACGTAATGAGCAACTGCATAATCTCTACAGCTATTGAAAAATCAAATTAATTATTCACTCAAGCTTTTCATTTCATTCCCCATCCATTTACTAATTTCATCACAAATCACCCATTTTAATTTTCTCAGTTCATCACAATTTTCATTACGAATCATAAAATAAACTCGTTCATAAATATAATTTTTCAAGATGATATAAAAAGATGATGCAATAATTTGCATCAGATATTGTTCCATTTTACTGAGTAATCAATACAATGGTTCCACGAACGGCTGCACACCGAATTTATATTCAACAGTGTGATAGTACAAGTCCCCAGGTCTCACAATGCTATTAGGAAAGTTCGCATGATTAACAGCATCAGGATAATTCTGTGTCTCCAGACAGAAAGCTCCATGTTTGAAATAGCTCTTCCCCTCTTTCCCTGAAATTCCACTTGCGTTGGCTTCTGGCAAGAAGTTGGCGGTGTAGAATTGCACACCTGGCTGATTGGTGTGAACCTCGAGGGTTCTCCCTGACGCAGGATGATCGACTTTGGCGACTAGTTTGCTGTCTCGATTCTTTTCGCCATTGACTAGGCAGAAATTGTAATCGTAGCCACCTCCAGGAACTTTATTAATTACATCACCGAGGATCTTCCGGGTTTGGAGGTCCATGATGCTATTGGCGACGGTTCTTATTTCACCAGTTGGAATGCTATCGGCGTCGGTCACTGTCCAGCGATCCGCGTTGAGCATAATCGAGTGCTTGTACAGTTCAGATGCATTCGTTGCCTGAAATTAAATATGAGTTAATGGGGCGAATTATCTCATGGGAGTCAGATGGCAATACAATTTTGAATAGTTAATTATTATGATACAGTGCTTGAATTAATTATTTCAAGGTGATTTTGTTGGCGGACTGAATGGAATTTATTTATTCACGGTTGCAGAAGTAGTGTTTCCTATTTTATTTCAGTATTCGACTATTTTAATGACTACAGAATATGAAAAATTTGCAAGACGTCAGCGACAGAGTAGGGGAATCAGATAATTCGCGCACTATTTTATGGAAATCGAGTGGAAATATGATTTGAAATAGTTAATAATGATGACATACTACTTGAAATAATAATTTCAAGTTCATTACTTTGGCGGATTGAATGGAATTTTTTTATTCACGTTTCGAGAACTAGTATTTCCTATTTTATTTCACTGTTTGACTAATTTAATGAATACAGAATATGAAAATTTTGCAAGACGCCAGTGGCAGAGCAGGGGAATCAGATAATTCGCGCGCTATTTTATGGAAATCAAATGAAAATACGATTTTAAAGAGTTGATTATTTTGACGAACTGAATGGTATTTATTAATTCGCGTTTCGAGAGATAGTGTTTGCTATTTTATTTTTCTATTCGACTATTTCGAATACCATGTATCGGAATCAGGGATAGCCAATTTTGAAGTTGTTATTTAGTTAACACAACTCTTAAATTTTTAATTACGAGATCGGCCGCGCGTGCTACGCACGCGCCTTCTCATCTCCTCTCGTAGTGGCGCTTCGGTTTCGGTCTTACGCTTTCGTTTATTCGAGATTTTCGAGATATTTCGGAATCGATTTCCTTGCTCCTTTTTACGATAGGAATACTCGTCATGATGATACCTAGTTACCAAAAAATACCATCCCACCCCGAGCAATATAGCTTTATTCTCGTTTTCCATTTTTGCTCCCGAATAGAAGCATTGTAATGCATCACTGACTGTTTTGTCACTGCCTTAACCTCGATTTATCATTTTTTACAAAGAAGATATCAAAATTATTGTAATGACCTTTTTCATAGCCCTTGAACTTCTCTACAAAAAAAGTCTTCATCAAAATGCTTCTATCTCCCTTAAATTATAAGATAACGAAAACTACAGAACACTACAGAGTAAACTGATGTCACTGACTTAACCCCGAATTATCATTTTTGAGCTCACATTAGGTGAAAAAAAAAGTTGTCTGAATTTTACTCTATATTCGTTTTTTCCTACCGTTCCATTTTGCCCCGTGTTCCATTTTGCCACCCCACCCCCTAGAATTTCCCTGATTAAGAATGAAATCAGTAGCGAAGCGGAACACCGGGTTAAGTCGATTTTAAGGAATGGCCAGTTTTTTAAGAATATCCCGGAATCTACAAGAGATGAAAAATTTTCGTTGGAACCTTTTTTGTAGAGCTAATTAGGAGCTATAAAAAAGGTTTTGACAAAAATTTTGCTATCTCTCTTAGATTCCGAAATATTCGTCAAAAACTGGCCAAAAGTCAAAGTCGACTTGACCCGGTTTACCGCTTCGCTACTGAAATTGACTCGTCCGGTTGTACCCCTCAAGAATTTCATCAACCTACGTGTCCAGCTAGATTGAAGTAACTATGATTAGTCAGGTTGATCGGCGTGGCTTTGGTAACGCAAGCCTTCATAACGATGGATAGAGTCCCATTATTGTCGAGTTTGAAGACAGTTGTAGCAATAACCGCCCCTGGAAAACCCTCATCACCGTCCTCGCTCAGAAGAGTCATCACCAATTCATCACCTCGAATCGTCGATTCCCAAATCTTTGAGTTCCAGCCTTTGAAACCTCCATGGAGAGTGTTGGGGGGTATGTTCTTGGAGACATTTATCTCGACCCCGTCCAAGAGAAACCTCCCTTTGCCAATACGATTGGCAACTCTGCCGACCGTCGCTCCGAAGTACGGATTGTCCGCTTTGAGATATCCTATCAACATTTTCAATTGGATTGTCGCATGAAATTTGTTTATTGGGTGAAATTATGAAGTAGTGAATGATAAATATCAGATACGTATTATTCATTTAGAAAAATGATGACGATAAAGAATGAGTAAGTAGAGGATATTGAAGAAACGTCTGCAATATGATGTTTCTAATTATAGTTCATCAATTTTTCTTTATTTATGTCCACGTGAAAAGGGCCCGCTTTGTCGCATTTATCTTGCGAGATATTCACGTTTTTGTGTTCACACCTTCCATTTAAACCAATGTTAGACTGATTTTTTGATCTTCTATTCCGACGTCATTGTTCATACTATCGTGTTAATTTTGGGCTCAAAATGTGAGGAATCTCACTAAGATTATCGGAATATACCTGACTCCAAACCGACAAAGTGGGCCCTTTTCATGTAGATGCCCACATTTATTCAAGTAAAGTACAAACATGTAGTTGACATTGTAACGAATCTTCAACTTCTCAATTGCTTTCCCTGATTTATTTATTCCTTTCTTCCTCCCGAATCTCTCCTTTGAAGTTAGCGTCACTCTTTTGTCGTTCATTATGCTTTTTCTTTCCGTTTTTTACACTTCCTGTTATATTTTTCTTCACCTCGTTTAACTACAATAAACTATTATTCATTTTAAACCTACGTCTTCTTTAATTGGTGTCAGGAGTGACGGATTTATTTTTACGTTTTCGTGAGTAAATTTGTGAATTAGTGCGGAATTAGTAAAAATGGACCGACTGAAACTGGACCTCGACGACGGATTATTCCCTCATCTCCGACACAACCCGGAGGCGATTCTAGAATTTGTGGATGGCAGAATCACTTGCAACAATCGGGAGAAACGAAAGAATAAATAAATCATAGAACGCAATTGAGAAGTTGAAGATTCGTCGCAATATTTTTCATCCGATTTTCATATCATGCAATGTGGACATTTTACGTACACTGTTGGAAAATTTTCACTGAAGTTTCCAGGCTTTAGTCTTGAAATATGAAGCAAGTGACGGTTTCATTGAAATTTCAGGGAATTTTACCATTGAAAGTTCGTGGTTTTCGTGGAAAATTTATGGAAATTTTAAATTTCAGTTAAATTATTCCATGAGAATTAATGGAAATTCGGAAAATTCAATCAAAAATGTCCTTGAATTTTCAATTTTTTGAAATTTCAGAGCAATTTTTTATTGAATTATCCTGTTTACATTAAAAATTCATGGAAATTTCGGAATCTTCATGGTTCTTCCACTGAAAAATCAGGAATTTCCTTGAATTTTCAGGGAAATTTGAAATTTCATAGACTTTTTTCCGTTAAATTGAATTCAGTGTTATTTTCTGGAAAACTCAATTAAATTTTTTTAACAGTGTAAAATCGTAATTGCATTATTTGATTCAGTAGCAAAGCGGCGAAACGGTCCAAGTCGATTTTGACTATTAATCTTTTTTCAATTAACAGGGGAGGGTAGGATAAACCGGACACTTTAGACTTTTTTAAAATTATTCATAACTCAGAAACAAATGTAACAATAGAGCTCAGTTCAGGCGCATCTCAAAGGGAAAGAATTGTTCTTTGTATTGAAATTTTTTTTATTAAATTTCATCAACATTTCAACCCGTCACTAACATTTAAAAAAAGTCAAAAGTATCCATTTTACCCCAATCTCTCCTATCTCAAAACCTAAGGCAGATGGAAAAAAATTTTATAGCTCTTAATTCTCTCTCTACTGTCACTGCAACATATTGAGGGGTGAACCTGAACATGTTTCAATACCTTCGATGTTATCGAACCCTAGAACAACGTCCGCAACCTTCCCCTTCTTATCAGGAGTGCGAACAGCTCTGATGGTAGCGCCATAATTAAGAATATCCACTTCTTGATGATTCTGATTCTTCAGGGTGAACATTTTGACTTCCTTCCCATCAACTGTTCCCCATGACTTCATTGTGATCTCTGAAGCTTGGGTCTGAGCCATTCTGAGGAGTCTGTTGGATAACTTTGCAATGAATTACGAAGTATGAAAGATATCTTTCAAGTGTTACGAGAATTTCCTTGATAATTCTGTCGATCACAAAATGGGCGGACTTATGTCTGATGTCTCACAGTGAACGTATGGCAGGCGTTTTTCCTATAATCTGTGACGCCACAGGTCTCGACAATAACTTTCTGACGCTGATAACAGGCGCCAGAATGACTTTAATGAATGTGTATGAGTATGTAGGTGGTTTTATCTGATAAAGCTGCTGCAATACTCGATATTTGAACTGTGTTTTCACTTGTTCTCTGTGTTTTCACTTCTTTTGAACTATAAAGTACGTGAGATTATGGGAATGCAATTCTTGGATTTGAATACTTTGGATCTGGAGGGAAGATTCCACTGGGCAGAAGCAAATGATGCTGCTCAACTACGCGGAGGAAGCCTCTTGTTTGAACTAAATGTTTATCTCAGCACACACAATAAACATGCATTACAAACACAGTGACAATTCAATCAAACCCGGGTTTCAGCTTTTTATTCGATTGAACCAATTGAGCTCTCACATCCATGTTGAGCCGAGGTCAACTCTCTTTACCAACCACCCCTTTCATTTGGTGAAGCATTCAAATAAAATGTTGAGATTTCACTCTCGAGCCGAGAAATTATAGATTTTTTTTAATCCGGAGACTTTTGTCTCGTCAATCGAGGCAAGTCCCTATAAATCGATTTAATACAAGAACCTAACGTTTTCTTATACGGGAATTCTATTGAATTTCTATTCAGTAGCGAAGCGGTAAACCGGGTTAAGTCGATTTTGACTATTGGCCAGTTTTTGACAAATATCTCGGAATCTAAAAGAGATAGAACAATTTCTGTTATAACCTTTTTTATAACCCTTAATTGACCCTGCAAAAAAGGTCATGAGAAAAATTTTGCTATCTCTTTTAGATTCCGAGATATTAATCAAAAACGAACCATAAGTCAAAATCGACTTAACCCGTTTTACCGCTTCGCTACTGTATTGTAACTCTATAAGAATCTAGTGGAATTCTGTTGGAAATCCATTGAAGATTGCGCAACTCTATCGAGTCGTATCTTTGAGAGATATATCTCACAGAAAAGTCTATAAATTTTGACTTTTCTACATAAATCGTTGGTCGTAAATTTTCCATGTTTTTACCGCTGTGTTATCACTGTTTTCTCATGATACAATCCAAACAAAAATCTTGGGAAATTCATACCCAAGAATTTTTATAGTCATCTATCCAAACAAAAAACTTGAAAAATTCATACTCAAGAATTTTTATAGACATCTATAGACTTTTTTCTGTATGAAGTCAGTGATTTGGGGATGTGTTGTGGATGTAGTGTGACGTTGGTCAAGACGAGTTTAATTGAATTTTTAAAAATTATTGTGGAAATGATGGCTGAGGTCGGAACGAAATTGACTTATATCTTGAAATTTTATGAATTTATTCCGTAGATTGTGGACATGCTGGATTCCCTGAACGGTGCGTAAACTTGGGGTCGAGATTATTGTCGATGGACGGGTCCATTTAGCCGCGATTATGGTTATGGTATTATGGATCGTAGTTAAAAAATGAATCACCTGAACTCCTAATACCAATGCAAAGTATGGACCTATTTAGTCATAAGTGACTTTATTAAAATAATTCGGGGTGAAATAAATGATAAAAAGATACCAAGGATACGTCTGCGTATCAACAATGAAAATAACAATAAGAATAACAAGAAAGAGACGATCGTATATGAAGGTCGTTGAGAGGGAGGAAAAGAACAAATATTGTTGTATTTAACCCTTGTCTGGTCACCAGACACGACCCTGCGACTCTGGTCACCTCCGCGGGGATTCCCCGCGTGTTATTTAGACTTCAGCATTGCCGAATTCACTCTACACTGCCCGGGCGCATTTAGCGAGTTTCTGGCAACGTCGCATCATGGGCAATTTCACTTAACATGGGAAAAAATAATTCATCTGTTCGAAATAATTTGTTTTCTTTAGAAATTTTGGGAAATATGTTGTTCTAAAAACTACAATAATTTTTTTGAAACTTATATTGACAAAGTCAATTGAAAAATTAATTAATCAATTAATTATTCATCAATTAATTAATAATGAATTGATTATTTAATTGACTTTGTCAATATAAGTGTCGAAAAAATTATAGTAGTTTTTAGAACAACATATTTTCCAAAATAATTAATAATTCATTAATTCATTAATTTTCAATTTTTTCGGTCAGCCAGTCAATTGTAATTAAAGAAAAACGATGCGCGGCGGGGTGTCCTTCATAGGGTGATCAATCGAAAGGGCGTATTTATTGACAGTTCTTCAGACATTAGAGGGGAAGATAGATTGAACTATTCCATTCCGTAACAATATCTATCTGGAGTCCCCAATAGAATCTAACTAAACCATATTATAATTTCAAATAGAATTATCGGAGAAATGAGCGGAATATTTGAATAGAATTCTGATATAACTTCAATAGAATTCCTAAGAGAAGGCGCTAGGCTTCTCCACTAAATTTTGTCACCAAGAATTCATTCTCAATTCTCTCAATATTTTTTTCCGACCTTATAGGATAAACAGGTCGATTTCTGGACGACTCCAACTTGCATTGAATATTCCATAAACAAGATGGAAATTGCACTGATTATTTCGCCTTTTAATAATATTACTCGTGTATAATCATGTGATCAAATATTTTTTCTATTGATCGACATAAATAAATAAAAAAATATAGCCCAGTCGTCCCGAAATTAGGGGTTTCGGCTGCATTCAACTGTTTCTTAAGGGGAAACGGAACCCCTCAGTTTATATGAATCTTTAGAATTGTGTTTTCTCCTGGAATTATTATCTTTTATTCATTAAACTACTTCATTGACTCAACAATGCGATAATCGAGTCAATAAAGTAATTTCATAGATAGAAATTAATAATTGTAGGAGAAAACACAATTCTAAGATTTGATGTAGACAAAGGGGTTCCGTCAACCCTTAATTTAATTATTCTTTGTTTTGTTATTTTCACTTCAAATAATTTTTTCCGCTAATTAAAACATTTTTGAAGGTATGGAAGCCATCATATCCCCATTCAGGTGATTCTGTTATTTTACATTCTATCCCGACACTCGAATTTCCCTCAACCATCCAGCAATTGGCCTATTCACCCCACATAAACGACGACAACACTCCCACGGAAAGTATGCTGATAGATTAATTGCAGGATTAATTTCACATCAGTTTCTAGAAACTCGAGGTATGTTGAGGAAAAATTCAGCCAATTGTCGTCAACGAGTTTAACCTGTCGAGTTTCTCATGGAAGATTGAAACCTCTCGTTACATAAACCGTGAATTGATTCGTCTTACCCAAGGACTTCGAACAACGTCAGGAAAATTTTAAGCAACATCTCTCGCTGTAGTGCTTATCACGGGCAAAAAACAAGTCGCGCTGTCTACGTCTGCTGTTTAACTAAATATATATAGGGAAAGGAGTGTCTATTTATGGCGGTTAGTTATCGAGGACCCGGGACCTTGAACGCTTATTCCCCTGTTGAGCATTGTTCCAGTGCTTTGAGAAAATCTTCAGACACCTGCTGTTGCTGTTGGCAAGTGTCGAAATGAATTGTTTGTCTGGACATAACTTATCATCGGGGATAAACATCTATTCATTCCGACGTGTCGTTAATTTGTATGCACGAGTATTATCTGTTATGTATGTGAAGTATTCTTGAAAACAAATGGAATGTTGTTGGAGTGTCGGATCACTCGGGGACATTTTGTGATACATATCATAAGAAATTGCTATCGAGATTGTACACTGTTGTCATCAACACTCGATTTTATGTACTCAGTAATTTTGAAGTACTGCAATTGAATGGTTCAATGTCAATGCGTACCCCGGATTAAGATAACAATTAATCTTTATACTGATTAATTGTCGTTTTGACGATGACATTGGAGATGGAATTTAACGGGCAGAATGGGGAAATTATTAGGCATCTTGACTGGAGTGTAATTTTTTATTGCGGGATTTGAAAATCGGATAAAAAATATTGTTCGTCACACGGCCGAAATAGTATTTTCATCCCGCTGTGACGAAAAGTGAACTTTTTGGCACGCTCCGCGTGCCTAAAAGTCCACTTTCCGGCACATTGTGATGAAAAATATTGTTCGTAACTCGTGAAAAAATGTTTTTTGCACTCGTTACGAAATATACTATTTTCTGTACTGCTTCTCACGATTTCTCGTCTGGGAATTGGTATTACATACTTCCCAAACTCGAAAACTTGAAAATCACTACAGAAAAATATTGTTCCTGGGCTGTTGCGATGGGGTTTTTTTACTCGTGTGGCGTTGGCCTCCGAGCCGTAGGCAAGGAGTGGCCAACCACACGAGTAAAAAAACCCCATCGCAACAGGCCGGAAAAATACTATTTCCGGGCTGCTGCGATGGGGTTTTTTACTCGTGAGGCATTGGCGTCCGAGCCGTAGGCGAGGACTGGCCAACCACACGAGTGAAAAAACCCCATCGCAGCAGCCCGGGACAAGATTTTTTTGTAGTGATTTTCAAGTTTTCGAGTTTGGGAAGTATGCAATACCAATTCCCAGACGAGAAATCGTGAGAAGTACAGAAAACAACATTATGTAATTTTTCATTAAAGAAGGGAATTTATATAGCGTTCCACATCTTTGTGACGTCATAGGAAATTAGTTGGATAAGATTTGGATGAGGTAGGAGGGGATCCGTGATTATTCTCAATATGAATTAACACGAAATATTTACTGAAAAAAAATGGATAGTCCAAACAAATCCATTCGTTAACAATAACTAATCCTTTCTATCAGTGTGGGGAATATGAGTTTACAGCCCGAGCCGAAGACGAGAAAAATACTAAACACGACAAATATGATAAATTAAAATGAACACGTGTCCAATATTTTCCATTCAAATCTTCCGTATTTCAGTGAAGCTGAAACTAGCAGAATATTCGTCAGCGAAAAATTCAGTTTAGAGGATATTTAAGTGTATGAGAGTCAAATAATCATATCTACAAATATTTTTTAAGTGCAAAAGAGTTTGTACATTACTTAAAAACATTTGTACACCACTAGATTTGCCTAAGACAAATCTCCTGCTGCTGAATCTTTCGCTAGTTTCAGCTTCATCGCAGTTCATCATTTTATGGAAAAAGAACTGTCATGTGACGCAGAAAAATATGACGTCACATGATCGTCATGTTCACAATTGCAATTGCATCATAACTATGCTTTCAATCACCAAGCTCTAAGGGTCCTCCGAAATGTGGTACACTGAGAAAAAAAATGTCTAAGAAATAGAAATTCTATGATTGATCCAAATCGTTCATCGATCGAATAGTCGCAAAAGAAAATGCTATTGTAACACACAAATATCGATTCAATTTTAATGTTTTCGATTGAAAAAGAATGAGATCAGTTATTTAAACTTATTTTTTTGTTACTATTTACTTTTCAGTACATACAAATCAATCTCTATATTATCAGATATCTTCTTCGAATAAAGTATGTAATTATCCAATTTATCAGCGTCACGATATCCCGCAAAAGAATATCTGTTCGATTGAAAGCAGAATTCATAGATGCAATAAAATATTCATTTGGTCTATGAGGAACATATTGTTGGATACTCATTGATGCGAGACTTTCGCGGTGAGCAGTTTCTTGTTTACGACAAACGCAATTCTTCATCATTTGAACGGATTATTTTTCCATTGCAATTGTGAAAAAAAATTATTTGCACCAAATCCGAAGCGTTTGAACTAAACCAAAACTGAATTGTATGAAATCGATTTTGTCCCAGAAACATGTATTTTCTAAATTCGATAGAATAAACAAAATATACTATACTATAACAAAATCGATTTCATACAATCCAATTTTGGTTTAGTTCAAATCGATATTTGTGTCTTACAGTAGCATTTTCTTTTGCGACTATTCAATCGATGAACGATTTGGATCAATCATAGAATTTCTATTTCTTAGAAAAAAATTTTCTCAGTGTAGCAAGCATGTTCACGAAAAAATAAGGTATTCCTGATAAACTTGGAATTAATTCTATATGATTGTTAAAAACCATTAGGTGGGGTAATGACGTTAATCACTCGGTGATAAAAACAATGATGAGCTTATCATTAAGTGAGTTTGAACGAGCTCTAACAAAAATTGATTAATTTGATCGGAGTACATATTAATAAATTTGTTCGCATTGCCTTCTAAATATTCATTGAATTCCTAACGAATGAAGTTTATTTGGATCAAGGAAACATGTTTATATTTAAAACACTTTTCAGTTGGTTTGAGTAAAACGACTAATAAAAATCAAGTTGAAGGTTGAGCACAAGTTTTATTACGAGCTATTCGAAAAAGCCCATTTGTTTGATTAAAATAGTGTTTATTTAATTTGAGTTAACTATTTAATGGGACCCGATGAACAATCGGAAGGTCCCGGGTTCAAACTCCGGTCTGGACTAGCCATTTTTCTTCGGTAAAAATTTTTTGGTTATTCTTATTGATAATAATCCCAGTTCCCCTCATCCAAATCCCATCCAATCATTTCTTATGACGTCATAAAGATGTGGAACGCTATATAAATTCCTTTCTTTAATCCTAGATTGGTCACCCTATGAGGGAAACTAAGCCGCGAGTCGTTTTTCTTTAATTGCAATTGACTGGGGCCCAGTTTTTGGTTAACTTAACCAGCGTTGAAACCTCGGTTGAAGTGAAGGTTAAGATCTCTGATTGGTTGAACTCGGTGGTGGGGGGGCTTTTACCAAAAAACTGGCCCTGGGTAACCGAAAAAATTAAAAAAAAAATTTGACTTTGTCTATCGAAATGTCTAAAAAATTATAGTAGTTTTTAGAACAAGAATTATAGTAGTTTTTAGGAATTTTCGAAAATTCCTAAAGAAAACAAATTATTTCGAACAGATGAATCATTTTTTCCCATGTTAAATGAAATTGTCTATGATGCGACGTTGCCGAAAACTCGCTAAACGCGCTCGGGCAGTGTAGAGTGAATTCGGCAACGCTAGAGCCTAAATAACACGGCGGGGAATCCCCGCGGAGATGACCAATCGCAGGGTCGGATATGGTGACCAGACTAGGTTAATGGAGTTCTCTGGCTCTAATTTCCAGAATTTTTCTTTCTTATCATATGTGCGTGTATAGCGCGAGTGCCTGGGGCTTAACATTCCTTAATGAATCAGGTGTTCATTTTGTCCCACTGGCCCCTATCTCATCAACAAAATTCCTGTTGAATTATTATATTTACCGCGTTATTCTCATCACAGTATGGGTCGATAATAAGGAGATCTTATTCATGTACTGATTAGCACGTTCTAACCATCATGGTGTAAATACACGTTGAGATATTGATATAATTAAATCCAAGTGTCTACTAATTATTTAGACCCATCCAGTATATTTAGTCTTACTAATTAACAGTTCCAATAGTCATTATATTACAGCGAACGCAACCTAAATCCTCATGATTTCATCATGAACTGGGGCCAACCACACGAAGACAATTATTTAGTGAATTTCACCAAGTAGTTTGTAAAATTTAACAACTATTTAATTAAAATTCAGAAAAAGATGTTTCATTTTCATTTGACAACCATTTGTCAAATTTCCAATAAACGTTCGTCGATTTATTTGATGGATTAAATTTAACAAAGACTTGTAGATTATTGCGAAAATATCGTCTAGGGGAGATATTGATCGATTGTCAAGGTATGAATGATTGCGTGATTGTTTCCAAATGTATATCAGTACCACGACGTGGTAAAACGGTACAAGTCAATTTTGACTATTGACCAGTTTTTAATGAATATCTTGGGATCTAAGAGAGATAGCAAAATTTTTGTTATAACCTTTTTTGTAGAGCCGATTGAGAGCTACAACAAATGTAATTCCGAAAATTTCGCTATCTCCCTTAGATTCGGAAATATTCGTCAAAAACTCAACTGGAAGATAAGTCGACCTGAACCGTTTCACCACTTTGCTACTGATATCTGCCCTCACCATCTAGTTTGCTATTCAAAATTGATTGAATAAAATTGAAAAATCTTTTCTGAGTTTTAATTAGGAGTGGTTGGGGTAAAACGGACACTAAACTTTTTTTAAATGTTTATAAGAGGTTGAAATGCTCATAAAATTTAATAATTTTTTTTTCAATACAAAGAACAATTCTTTCCCTCTGTGCCGAGCCTAAACTGATCTCAATTGATAAATTTGTTTCTGAGTTATGAATAATTTTTAAACAGTCTAAAGTGTCCATTTTACCCCACCCTCCTCTAATTAGTTGTTAAATTTTCCCAACTAGTTGTTGAAATTCACCAAATAATTTTCTCCGTGCGCTACCAGACCCCCACGCAGATCACGAGGAACGACCCCAAAACATCAGATATAGACCTCCGATTTATCCGTCTATTCCGTCTCCAATAAACTTTCCTTCCTTTTCCTCAAAACAAATCTCAAAATGACTCACACGCAATTCAATTGACTCAAACCGTTTCACCACTTTGCTACTGATATCTGCCCTCACCATCTAGTTTGCTATTCAAAATTGATTGAATAAAATTGAAAAATCTTTTCTGAGTTTTAATTAGGAGTGGTTGGGGTAAAACGGACACTAAACTTTTTTTAAATGTTTATAAGAGGTTGAAATGCTCATAAAATTTAATAATTTTTTTTTCAATACAAAGAACAATTCTTTCCCTCTGTGACGAGCCTAAACTGATCTCAATTGATAAATTTGTTTCTGAGTTATGAATAATTTTGAAACAGTCTAAAGTGTCCATTTTACCCCACCCTCCTCTAATTAGTTGTTAAATTTTCCCAACTAGTTGTTGAAATTCACCAACTAATTTTTTCCGTGCGCTACCAGACCCCCACGCAGATCACGAGGAACGACCCCAAAACATCAAATATAGACCTCCGATTTATTCCGTCTCCAATAAACTTTCCTCGCTTTTCCTCAAAACAAATCTCAAAATGACTCACACGCAATTCAATTGACTCAAACCGTTTCACCACTTTGCTACTGATATCTGCCCTCACCATCTAGTTTGCTATTCAAAATTGATTGAATAAAATTGAAAAATCTTTTCTGAGTTTTAATTAGGAGTGGTTGGGGTAAAACGGACACTAAACTTTTTTTAAATGTTTATAAGAGGTTGAAATGCTCATAAAATTTAATAATTTTTTTTTCAATACAAAGAACAATTCTTTCCCTCTGTGACGAGCCTAAACTGATCTCAATTGATAAATTTGTTTCTGAGTTATGAATAATTTTGAAACAGTCTAAAGTGTCCATTTTCCCCCACCCTCCTCTAATTAGTTGTTAAATTTCCCCAACTAGTTGTTGAAATTCACCAAATAATTTTCTCCGTGCGCTACCAGACCCCCACGCAGATCACGAGGAACGACCCCAAAACATCAAATATAGACCTCCGATTTATTCCGTCTCCAATAAACTTTCCTCGCTTTTCCTCAAAACAAATCTCAAAATGACTCACACGCAATTCACCGAATGCGTCTCCACAATCTTCCACGCACCGCACTGGCAGCGCTGCAGGTGCCTTGTTGATATTCAGTTATCGAGAAAAATCGTAACAATTTTCGTGGAGCCCGCAGCCCATTGGCCACGCCGCCAGACCGGATCATACGATTGGCCTCGCGCCAGATATCCCAACGCTCTCCCCCCCATCGCAGCATTCCCCCACCCCACGGTAATCCTGACCACGTGACCTGCACGCAGCCACTTCACTTGGTCTCTTGCACTTTTACTCCTCATTCAACACCAGCGCGTCGCATTGTACAGGTGCACTAACACGATTCCAAGATCAAGAACTAATTAGTTCTTCTCAAGAGTTGACATAACAAGAGACGATTCCCGTCGGAACTCCACAGCTCAAGTTCGAAACTTAGTTTCTGGAGACTATTTCGAGATATCTTTCCTCCTCTCTTTCCTCAATTTCGATAATTCAAAGCGCCTTGAAGACGAGTGCCTGAGTGAAGTGTGAAAGTCAGTGAATGAACAGATTTCTCCTCGCAACACGCCGTTTTCTACGTCCGAGTGAACCTAAGGCAATGGGTGTCAGCAGCAAGGTACGTGGCTTTGTTCTCTGGATGAATTTCCACGCGATTTTTGCGTTCGATTTTTCCGAACACATTTCCCGGACTTTGCCTTCGGCGTGGGCATTCCCTCTGACTGGGCGATGAATCTACCTGCGACGGGTCGATACGAAATGGCGCATTGGGAATTGAATGTGCTGCGAAGGGTACGGTAGAAAGTGGTAGAACGACGATGCGCGAGCATAAACAACACATGGGGCACTGTTAAAAAATTTTGTCAGAAATTTCCGGTACACTTTTTGGAAATTTTTATCGAATTTAATTACCACTGAAATTTCGAGGAATTTCGTCATTGAAAATTCAGGATTTCGGGGAAAAATCGAAGAAAACTGTAAATTTCGGTTCTAGTTTTCCCTGAAAATAAATAGAAACTAGAAAATTCCGGTAAATATATTCTGGAATTTTCAGGACGGTGACACTGAATGCGATTGAGGGGAAGAATATCGTGAAATTTCAGATTTCACTGAAAATTCTATGTAAATTGCACGGAAAGAAATGTTCTGTAAAAATTACAGAACTCATAATTCATTCGCCGATTACGGAATCGACTTAGAAAATTCAAGTGATGGTATCGTAATTTTTTACAGGAGATCCTATTCTGAAAAGAACATACACTTAAAGTCGATAACTATCGATATCTCGCAAGTCTGTCACGCTTATTCCTCATTGGTTCCAGTCACCTAAGGCGGCAAATTTAATTCATGATGATCCTATTTTAAAATTTAATTCATGATTTCATTTTGAGATTTTCAATTATGATTGTTACAATTACAGCGCGCGTTCGCTCTCGCTCAGATAAAAATGACGGAACGCTCCAGAAAAATTCCGTGACAGTTCCGTAAAATTTCCCACAACCACATTTCGTTCTGGAATTACGGAAAAATACGTAATTTTTATTGACTATTTCTCTCCGTGTGCAGCTGAATATTCATAACTTAACTCAACTTTTAACGTCATTTATTGTAAGAAACATACATTCTTACAAATGGCCATTGCCCGAGGGCCTTCAGCCTAGTTCTGGAATTTTACTCAATTTTCAGGGAAACCTGAAATTTCGGGATTTTTTCCCCCTAAATCACATTCAGTGTCACTGTCCAGAAAATCAGTAGTCAACTGTCCATGAAATTTCATTTTTTTTCTAACAGTGAGCAAATTTGTGCAAGTCAACTTTTAAATAGCAAAAAGACTGTTTAATGTCCGCGCAAAATGTTAACTTGTGTCGAAAAGTTGCTCCAAGTCGTCGAAGAGATTTAAGTTAACAATTTGGCGTCTTTTAGGTGACTCTAAGATAACTTTTCACAAGTTAACATTTTACGCGGACATTAGACAGTTTTTTTGATATCTAGAAGATGACAACAGCAAGTGCGCTACTTCGGAATTTCGGGACTACGTGGCCGTTGATATCATATCATACCGCCTACATCGGCGTAAACGCTGTTTTTCGTTATCGGCGATGAGTAACCTCGGAGATTGAAATTTCTGAAGGCTAGCGATCAAATTATCGAGTGTTTTCCGCCTTCCGAAGGTTTACGTCATGTTTGTGAGGAAAATGTTGTTCTCAGATCAGATTTTTTATTCAAAATGTAGCGCTCATGATATTGTAAAGAATGGGGGGGGGGNGGGTACATTTAATAAATGAATGAACCCATCGTGAACTATTTATCAAAGATTTTGGGGCGAAAGAGATTCAAAAAGGAGTGACGTGTCCGCGGACTTGAAACGAACGCGAAAGAATAACGAGAAAGAAAGAGACGATCGTACATGAAGGTGGTTGAGAGAGAGGAAAGGCCAAATGCGCAACAATATTGTTTGGGCGAGTATATGAAATGGAATATACACAGAGAAAAATGAATCTTCCGATTTTATTCAATCTTCTTGAAGCCATTGCATCACCCACACTGATAGAATGATTCATTTATTCCAAACGAGATTCGTTAACTATTAACGAATGGTAGAGTTGAATATGACCAAATGAATATTCGTTAATAGTTAACGAATGGTTCACTTGAATGGCGAAAGTCAAGTCAAGCAAGGCTCCTCAAATATACATTCGTTAACTATTAACGAATGAATATTTGATAAGACCGAATAGACCCTAACCTCCCACGAAGCGGGAGGGAAATGTCACTTTGCTCCCGCCGGAACAGAAAAAGTGTTTTTTTTTATCCGTGGGAGGTGCGCAGCGCTCGTCAAAGGCGAGTGCTACCTTCGCAACGGTCAAAGAACACTTTTTCCACGAGCGTCGAACCCTATTTTTCATCACAATGGGTGAAAATAGGAATTTTGCGCACGCCGAGCGTCCGTAAAATTTCACTTTACGCACTCGTACCGAAATATACTATTTTCTCGCACATGAGAAAAAAGTTTTTTTTAGAGAATAAAGGGTCAATGAGAACCTTTTTCCGTCTCACGATGCAGTAATGTCGCGTCACTGCGTAGAATCTACGTCGCAGATCCCCACGAGAGTGAGAACTGCTGAACTTTTATCTTTGAAATTTTCTGGTATACCACCGTGACGCATAGCAGCTCTAATATGACGGTTTTATCTGAAGTGCAATGATCACACGCATCGACATATTTATACTTTTCCATCGGTCATAGATCTCCTCCTGTTGACGATTCATGAATGAATGGATTTTAATTCCATGTCCGATAGTTGAGTCATAAAGACCGTCTGGAGTCTCACAGCAGTAATGTAAACAAACTGTCACGTCACCCCATGCGATAAATATACATATTTGTTCAGAAGTGACGGTTTGCAGCAGTTGGCAAGTGGAAGAACTTGTGAAATATTTTCAAATTCTGAAAAAATTAGGAAGGATTGAGGGAGACGCCTTGCCATTACTTTCACTCATTTGGCTTTATACAATGAAATTTTTTATTCGGGTTTTGTGGGTATTGGCCTTTAGCACCGAATCACCTCGATCGTCGCATGTTCGTTGCATAACGTTCTCCACACGATTACGAGTGAAGCAGAATTTATGATCGGGGAGGGAGTAAAGTGGATAGTTCTTAATCGGCAAAGTGAAATTTCAAGTTTTTTTTCCCGTAATTTTGAAGGGATTGCTTCAGGCTGTGAAATAAAATTGACTTGCCAACAGAGAAAAAATTATATATTACAACATATATAAAAAATATCTTAAATTGGCCCAATTTATATAAAAAAAACATAAATAAAACATCTATTTTACATATTTTTAAATGTATTTTTTATAAATTTGAAAAATATACTATGGAATTGGCCCATACTGAGGGCGCGTTTCGCAATCGATTTAGTAGCAGCACTGCAGCCCTATCTAATTTCGCTTTACTGCAGCTACAGTAGTTGATTCCGAAACGCACCCTATATCAGGTATTCCATGCCAAATGAGTCAACGGCTAACCCTCACCCTCTTGAAAATTGATGGCGATTTTTTCTAAGATTACGGAGCTTGAAAAACTTGAATTTAAAAAAATTTTTTTGACATCCCAGCTCGGAAATATGATTTTTTTCCAATTGTTCCGTTTTTTTACGATAACTTGAGTTCTACTCATCCGATTTCGATTTATTAGAGACAAAATTTTCAATTTTTCACCACCTATAAGCATGTTTTAAAAAAAAAATTTCCAACCTTTAGATGCTCGAAATAACGAATTTTCGAAAAAAAAAAAGTTGAAAAACTTGAGTTTTGCCAATTACGTCACGGCCAATTATTTTAATTTTTTGTTCAGTAATTCTTATAATGAAAACGAAAATTTTGAGCCGTCATACATGTTGGGTTCCATCCATATTTTGAATTTTTTCTTTTTAAAATTGCGAAAATTTGGTAAAAACACCTTAAAACAACTAATTATGTATCGAAAAAATATGTGGCACAAAAATATGTGACACCTATTACGGTGGATTCTCGTGCCGACGTAAAAAATACCGAAGACCCTCTTCGGTATTTTTTTTGTTTACCAATATTTTTATTTGATGTCCAACAATATTTACATATATACAGTATTTACATATAACGAAAACCAGTTTTGAAAAAAATATTATGTGTATATAACCGTGTACCATTTTATAGTTATAATTCCTCGAATTATTTTCATATTTTTTTGGGTTTATGTGCTTAAAAAAAAGCACAGAGTTGCTTTACATGGACATGGAAAAAAAAGCACTTCAGTTATCGGTAGGGGTGGTACCCCTCTTCGGTATTTTCTCCAAGTATAAAAAACCAAAGTCCATTCGGAGGAGCTCGTGTACCATCGTGCCGTGGCCCTCGCCCCAGCCTTCCTGACTACCTCAAAATCGATTCAAATCTCATTTCAGGTCACTGTAGACATCTCCAACCAGTGACACGTCGGCTTATTTCTGTCTTGAACCTCTAAATCGCGGTTATCATTTATTTATTATTGATGAGGAGGGGAATTGGAACATTAACAACGAGATTGCGTGTTTCGAATAGTGAATTACTGCAGGAATGTATACGTATATCCTTATTAGTTGGTTCGATGACGCACGGGGAAATAACATTAAATGTGAAACTTATTTTTCGTTTCATCATCTCAGATCGTTCGGGTATATTTTAACACCGACACAGCATTTTCTGGACAAAATCACCTGTCACACGCAATGATTTACCTTCGATTTTCGATAAATGGGATGTTCTGCATCAAGACCACAACTCTTGAAACTGTAATGTATTGTGTCCAATTAAAAATGTATTATTCTAGTCTGTGCAATTTAAAAAGAAAGGCCCGAATTGGTGGATTTTATTTTTATCGAATTCCACACGCTCGAATTGTACACAAAATTGGACACTTATAAGTTTGAATGATGCAATGTGCGATTAAGATTGTAGTATATGTAATTTGGTTGGTGGACTTTAATTTTATAAAGTTCAATGTGTATATCGTGTTATTAAAACGTGCAGATTACAATTTTTGAAGATAGAGTTTTTATGCAAAACATGATGTGTATCAGAACACGGAGCGGTTCCATCGTGTATAATCGGTTGTTGTCGAAACAATGCTGTTTGTGTTAAGGTATACCATTGTCTCATGTACGACCAAGATTTTATAAAAAATATAACGCTTTCTGTGAGAAATTCTATTGAAGTTCTGTTAGAATTATATTAAATTGACCTATTAAATGCCGTGAATTTCCTTCATTTTTCGACACATGTGACGTTCTGCATTAAAAATACATCTACTGAAATTGTAATGTATTGTGTCCAATTAAACATGTATTATTCGAGTCTGCGCAATTTAAAAAGAACATAGAATTCATAAAACTTAGGCCAGGATTGGTGAATTTTAAAAAATTGAATTTCACACGCTCGAATTGTTGTACACAAAATTGGACACTTATAAGTTTGAATGATTCAATGTGCGATTAAGATTGTAGAATATGTAATTGGGTTGGTGAATTTTAATTTCACAGAGTTCAAAATGTATATCGTGTTATTAAAACGTGAGGATTACAATGTCCGAAGATAGGGTTTTTATGGAAAACGATGGAAAAACATAACAGAGGGATTCCATCGTGTATAATGGATCATTTTGTTGAAAAAATGCTGTCTGTTTGAAGTATACCTTCGTCTTAAATACGGAAAAATATTCATAGAAAAATCATGCGCTTTCCGGAAGAAATTCTATTAGAGTTTCTATTAGAATTATATTATATTGGCCTACAAAGCACAATGAATTCCCTTTCTTTTCCGACGTTCTTCCCATTTTCTCGTAAAAAAATGACATTTGTAGCCCTTCCTGTAAGAAATTCTATTGGAATTTGGTCAGAATTATACAAAACAATCTTATTTGTGTTTTTTTGTTAAATTCTACCAAAAAAATGCAACTCCCTCAGGCGTTTTTCAATAGATATTCTTTAAAAGAAAATCGTCTATAGATCTTGATTTTTCTGTACAACTTATTCTCATTGCATTTTTTCGATAAAAATTCTTGGGCATTAATTTAAATTTTTTTGTTGGATTTTATCATAAGGAACAAATAAAAATTGAGCAGGAAAATATTGGAAAATTTATGCTTAATAATTTTTCTAGAAAAATAGAAATCTATTTAGCTTTTTCCATCAAATATCTATAAATCAAATGATCCAATGAATTTGTATAATCCTCACTAGAATTAATCAATAGAATTTGGACATAACTACAATAGAACTCCAATACAATTTCTCAGAGAGAGCGCAACGTTTTTCCATAACATTTTTTTACGTGTTGCATTACTGCATTGAACAATATTATTTAATTATCAGTTCCGCTGAGTGACAACAAACTGATCAATAACAAACATAATTTCCTCATTTCCTTTAGTTAATTTCCCCTGGAAAATATTTCTCGATAAAACGACTCCATAGCCAATATCGTCAAAGCAATTCCAGCCATTTCATCACGCGGAGCCGTAAAAATTGAATGAAGTGTATTGTAAAGATTAATACTGTCGTTATCTGAAAGTGGAAATTCCCCACGTGGAAATTCTCTGATTACGATAAGAATTATTGTCGCAATCGAGAATGTTATCGTCTTAATGTGTGAACTCAATCATGGAGACAATTTAATTGTACGATTTAGAGTTCATCAACCTCATTTGAATAGATGACTCTCAATTTTGTGTGCTTTCAGATGTCAGATTCTAACCCTGAGATGAGGTCTACAGCAGCGAGAATTTGCCGTGAATCTTTAGCTGGAATTTGGAAACACGTCAACTCGGATAACATTGTCGTCAAGCATATAAGGTTTGTTATATCTCATCTATATTGTTTTTACTCACGTGTCGTAGAGGAATGAGAAGCCGTAATAATCCAGGCATCAACGTTGTGGAGATTAAATGAGGCTATCCTTGAGGAAAATTGCGGATAGTTTCCTCTGTGAATCATGTGCTAATTACACTGAGAGAAAAAATTAGTTACGCTGAAAAATTATGCGTTCTCTTTGTGCTTTCAATAATGCTATGTACTATTTTGTAGGCTTCGATGGGCGTCTGCCTGAAGTCTTAAATAAATAAATAAATAGATTTGTCTCCCTGGAGAGGTCTTTTGTCGTGTTGAATTAATTTACTTGTGGACAAAACAGAAAGCTTCTACCAAAATGTGATAATTTTCGTAGTATGAAGTTGAAATTAGCCAAAAATTCGACAGCAGAAGATTTGTCTTAGGCGAATCTAGGGGTGTAAAAATGTTTTTAAGTAATGTACAAACTCTTTTGCACTTAAAAAACATTTGTACATATGATTATTTGACTCTCCTACACTGGAATATCCCCTAAATTGAATTTTCCGTTGACGAATATTCTGCTAGTTTCAGCTTCATTTTCGTAGCAGTCATTGTTCTCGTCCCTTATTGAAAACAACATGTATGAAAAAATCGCATAGAAATTTTCTGTACGGATATTTCTATACGAATATTTTCTATACAAATTATTCCTATACATAAATTTTTATTTTCATGCGAAAGATGTCTAAACGCTCCAGAGATAAACGTAGAGAAATGTCGCAACTCCATACGAAATGTTTCTGTACATGTGGTAGTGGGTCGTATAGGATCAAACCTATAGAAATCCTATAGAAATTCTATACGCAATCCGTATAGAAAATTTCTATACGATTTTTTCATGCGTGAACAGACCCAAAAATCCTTTAAATATTACACAAATTTATCATAAATAGTAGATCATATCATAAATAGTAGACTAAATGTCTAAAATCACTGATTGTGAGAAGTGTAAATATTTAGATTAAGTTGATAGAACTTTACTGATATTTTCTATTGAATTTTCTGTTGAAAATTCTGATATTTTTTTTGCTGATTCTATTAGAAAATTCCGCAGTTTTTTTTTCGATAGAAAATGTCCAATAAAATCTATTTTATTTTTAAAAATCTGTTTTATTCTTCCATACAACTGTTTCTATTGAGACATTTACTGCCACAATTCTTCAACATAGATTTTCGAAGTTTATTTCACTATTTTTCGTTCTCCTCTCGTTGAAGAAATCAAACGAAAAAACTTGGGAAATTTGAAATTTCTGTGGAAAATATCTCAATAGAATAAGTTATATATAAAAATCAAATTCCATTGATTTTATAAATATAAAATATTTCATATTAAACATTTCTATCGAAAAAACAACCTCGAAAAAACAACTAGCATGTTCAATAGAATCTTGAATTTCTATGAAAAATTTCGGATAAAAAATCCTACAAAGCCAATACATGAAAATATGAAGATTTCGGGAGTATTTTTGCTTCACGCAAAGTGTTCGTGTTGTTGTTTTCTAATTAAGGAGTGCTATTTTCGCCTCTTGGCGTTTTGAAACCGCCTTGCTAATAATAAATTCATCATTTCAGTGGTGGGCTCAGCAACTGGATGTACCTAGTTCAATTGCCAGAAGGCACCGCCCCCCTACGTGGTGAACCCCGTCAGGTGCTCCTTCGAATTTACGGTCAAATGCATGGGGAAAAGACAGTGGAGAGTATGATTACAGAGTCTGTTATATTTGCTCTACTCTCAGAGCGAAAGCTGGGACCGAAGCTCCATGGTCTCTTCCCAGGTGGTAGGATTGAAGAGTACATTCCAGCTCGTCCATTGCTCACTAAGGAGCTAGCTGATCCTGAGTTGAGTGCTTTGACAGCTGAGAAAATGGCGCAGATTCATCGAATGCAGGTGCCAATTAGCAAGGAGCCCACGTGGCTGTGGGACACTATGGCTAATTGGTTGAGCACTGCTGAGGAGGTGCTCAAAAATTGTGAGGAGGTTGATGCCAAGCAGATGGACATTGTCAATAACATCAGGGCGATCAAGTTGGGGAAGGAGATTGCATGGTGTAGGTGAGTGTCAGACCTTTATTTATATTTTTTAGTCTTGAGGAAGAATGATATTTTAAATCCAATATGTATATCTCCTGATTAAAGTAGCTCTACCCTTACGGTAAATTCAAAGATTATTGAAAACTGCAGAAAATTGCAGAAAACTTGTCTAGATTCGGAATTCTAATTTTTTTCTCAATTTAATTATCGTTTTGGTTTTTCAAAGAAGAAATGTTTAAAAATCAGGATTTTTTTGCGAAGAAGTCAATGGATTTCGATTTTTCTATATGAAGATTCTCTTGGAATTTTTTCTATTAGAATAGTTGGACATGACTTTTCTAAGGGTTTTTCACTCGGGTCCTGCAAGGCAAAACAAAACAAAATATAGCGGAAAAAACTTGGAAAATTTGTGCCCAATAGTTTTAATAGAAAAAATCTCAAGAGCAAAATTCAAACAGAAAAATTGAAATTTATTGACTTTTGTCTATCAAATATGTGATGGAATCTGCGCAGAAAAATAAATAAAATTTTAACGAGAATTCTCTTGAATTTTAATAAAACCCCCATAGAATTTCCAGAGAATTCCAATAGAGTTTTCTAGCGAATTCGCTAGTTTTTTTATTCAATTTTTTTATACGTGAATTCCACCAAAAAGTTAGTTTCTATGGATTTCCGGAAAAATTCTAAATTACGTAATTTATTGCATTTTCATAAGTTATTGAGTTTTTCTATCCTCATATGTGGTTGGTGCAGGCAACAATAATTGTTTGAATCAAATAAGAAATTATTTGTTGATTAATTTTTAAATCAAATAAAGAATGCTTTCACAAAATTTCCAGTTTAACGAAACTTTACTTAACTTGAACCGAAAACATTAACAAAATATGAAATTTGGAAATATGGAAGAAGATTGAATAATGCTGTGCCAATAAAGAAATTAAGTCATAAAAATGATAAACTCTTTATCAAATTTTTTTTCAAATAGATTGTAATCTGTAATAACACTCGAGTGCTCAGTTCCACTTGACTATTTACGAGCTGACTTATGTAAATCCTTGAGAGATTGATAAGCACCTTAATAACACATCACCAGAAATCGCGATAATACACATGAAAAAAATTTCTGGAAAAACCTAGTGAATTCGCTAGGAAATTCTATTGGATTTCTATTGAATTTTTTGTTAGAATGAATGTGCAATCAAATTTTTTTTGAAGAATAAAGATAATTCTATTTTTTCTGTACAATTTATTCTATTGAGAAATAAAACCAATAATGCAATAATAATTCTATAGAAATATCATCATATTTTCTATAGAAATTCCCTGACTCAAATTTTCAAAGTTTCTTCCTTTCATTTTCTGGAATTCACTGAAATTTCAAAATCTCAGGGGCTTTTATTACTTGTGCTGATCAGTTGAAGTTTACTACGTCAGTTTTAATGTAAAAAGATATGAAAGAATTATATACAGTTTTTTTGTGAAATTTTTTCATCCGTGAAGAACAACAAATAACAATTTCTTCCTCCCCAGAAATCTCGTGAATCAGCAGAAGCACGAGGTAGTTTTCTGCCACAACGACATGCAAGAGGGTAACATTCTCCTCCGTCAAAACACCCGTAAGCGTGAATTAGTGCTAATAGACTTCGAGTATTCTGCGTACAATTATCGTGGTTTCGACCTAGCTAATCACTTCGTCGAGTGGCAGTACGACTACACAGCCCCCGAGTATCCATTCTACTACGAGAGACAGAATGCTGAACCCACGGATGAGCAAAAGGTAAGTTACGTAATGGGGGGCTAGATGGGTTACAAGAATGAAAATAATGTTTGCTCCTTGGTAAGGACAAATTTTCCCTTTATTTACCACATTTCAATTCGTTCGATTCCATATGACTGAAGAAACACAACATTCTGGGTTGAAGAGGGCATACGTGTGATCATTTACAGGATCATTAATCATTCTCATGACAATTGTTATTTATTTCACATCATCGTATTGTTTTATTGAATAAAATGATGGAATAGGAAAATTAAATGAAAAATATTGGATGTCATGTGTGAAACAATTCGATAAAAACGGTTTTCCTGGGGAATTTCATTAAAATTCTATTAAATAATTCATTTGAAAATTGGATTGAATTTAATTTCTATTTTCCTATAGAATTTCTCGAGCGTAAATCAAAGTTTTTCCCAGATCATTTCTATTTATTTTTCAAAGTAAAGCCTAATAGAAAAAAAAGTAAAATTGATACCCATAAATTGCAAATCTACTGAAAAAAATGGACAATCAATATCTTTAGATTCTTTTTCATCAGAAAACATTTATCCAGAAAAAATCAGTCAATTGTAATACATTTTTTGGTAAAAACGCTAGGATTATCTCCTAAATTATTTCAAACATTTGTAGTTTTTATTTTGACAAATCATGGAAAACTGATAAATGACGACCACTTGACGAGTTTTTTCTGATAAATCCTTAGGTTTTTCCACTTCATTTCTATTTGTTTTTCAGAATAAAGGCAAATTGAAAAAAACGTTAAATTAATGTTCACAAATTGCAAATCTACTGAAAAAAAATGGAAAATCAACATCTTTAGATTCTTTTTTATCAAAAAATATTTACTGAGAAAAAATTGACCAACTCCAATACAGTTTTTGAGGAAACACGCCAAATTTATCTCCAAAATTATTTTAAACATTTGTATATTTTTCTTTTGAAAAGTCATGAAAAACTGATGAATGTCGACAACTTGACAAATTGTTCATCATTTCTCAAAATAAAAAATCCATCTCCAACGTTTCATAGAATTTTCCTATCCATCATTGAAAAAAATAATGACCCAAACTCCCAATTAATGTCTAAAAATGCATTTTGACTCTGTAAGATCACGTGTAAGCTGATCATTAATCGTTAAAATCGTGGAATATAAGAGACATTAAAATTCACATGAGGGGTATTTATGATTCTCTAAGAAAGGGGGTTGTTAGGGGCCACGTTGGCGTGTGTTGCGTGTGTATATGTTAGTTTCACAGGACCGCTAAATACTGAAGACAAGGCTGGAAGGCCTCCGTATCTTCACTTATGACGGTGGTAATGGCATCGGCAACATTCTGCTGGCCCCTAGTGGAATCCAACAGAGACGGCCAGGTGTGGGCCATTCAACAATTGGGCGAGCAACAACCACCTCACCAACCACTAGAGTACCTTGTACACGCACTCTCAATAATCAAATGAATAATAAAACTCCAAAATAGTTGGTCTATTGGCATAATCCAGCGGAAATGATTAGTGTTTCTAAATTAAAATGGTAGTGGGTTCAGATATTACCATGTTATGGTATATATTTTGGTATTTTTAGAGGTTTTAACACACCTCTTGATAAATATTGTGAATATGCACTGTATTTTGTTTAATTTTATATCATTATGTAGTCATATTGTCACGTAAATCACTGGGATATATCGAGACTTGATTCTATCATAATTTCAGACATTTGTATTTTTATCAAAATTACGTTTATCTTGAGTTTTGTTGATTCTTATCACTATTGGAAATTTGAGACTTTCACTATTTTGTCACGGATTTGTCATGGTTTATTTTGTTAATCAAATCATCATTCAATTACTGCGCAAATCATTACCTGAGAATTCAATTCTTGAGGAAATTATAAAGTTCATGTAATATAGTAGCTTTTTATCTACTTCCACTTCTCAGCGATCACTGGACTTATATATTTTCATTTTCTCTTGATAGCTCCACTTCATTAGACATTACTTGAAAACACTGGGCAAGGAGGGCACTGCGGAGGAGGAGAAATTGTTGGATGAAGTTAAAGTCTTTTCCATAATTAGTCATCTGCTCTGGGGATTGTGGAGTATTGTCAATGCCAGTCATTCGCAGATTCCCTTTGGCTACTGGGTGAGTTTGAAATATTATTCAATATTTGGAATGAAAGTGTCTTATTGTTAGAATAGAATTCTAACAATGTATCGTACAATATGTCTTATTTGTTAATGTTATTAGAGAAAATTTTTATGTTTGAAAAATCTTGGTTTTACTACTTTACTACTTCATACTATTAAGCAGAGAATAATAAAAAATAATAAAGAAATAAATAAATGAATAACAAAAATTTTAAAAATAAAAATGTAATTTTTGCTTAATAGTTTTTTGCGTTAAAACTGAAGTAGTGAACTCATCAGCACGATAGATGACGACACCAACCATTTCGAACTTTGAGTGCAGTTTTCCCTTAAATGCACTAACCAAGCGGTAAAACGTCTGAAGCCAATTTCGATTATTGGTCCGTTTTCAATGAATATCTCGGAATCTAAGGCAGATAGCGAAATTTTTGTTATTACCTTTTTTGCAGCTCTTAATTGGCTCTACAAAAAAGGTAATTCCGAAAATATCGCTATCTCCCTTCGATCCTAAGATAATCCTTGAAAACTGAGCTAAGAGCTAAGTCGACTTCGCTTTACCGCTTCGTTACTGAATTATTTGAATGAAAGATTATAATTGTTGAAATTATTCCAACGTTTGATTAATGACTAATATTGTATCATATTTTATCATCAGGATTTCGCTGACACTCGCCTGAAAAGCTACCAGTACCTAAAAGAGAAAATGATTGTATCTGGCCCAGTACGATGTGGTGTAAAAAGGAAGGACGAGCACAACGACTGAATCAACACGACGAAGTTGGAGTGATTCTGAGTGACTCTTTTTTCCATTCACATTGAGAAAAAGAGTCCAACTCACGGCCCAGCTGTTGGTCAGAGAGTGAAAAAATAATGAATGGACTGCCAAGAGAGTGTGAGTGGGTGTTTATACCAACTGTGTGATTGATTGCTTCCGTGATAATTAATTGACATTGTCATTAGTGGCAGTTTAATGATCATCTCCATCGATACAATCATCCATCGATGTTGAGGGAGACGAAAGAGAGTTTATCAACCTACCTCAAAAATGTGATAAATAGATTAAGAGCGAGGAATTGTTATCTTTTGATAAGCGATGAAGAATAGGAAAGAGATCATCATTTAGGCTTGTTTGGACATGGTCAGAGAGATTTCATTCACAATGTCAATAGTTAAGGGTAGATAGTCAATACGAATAGTCTATCCTCCTCAATTATCAACGGAATAATCGACGAAATGAAGAAACTATCGAAACACTTTACGTGAAAATGCTGTCACATAACGAAAAAATAACATCTGCGAATCAAAAAAGGACTGCAGTGACCTCGAATCATTTTACTTAGGCATTCGTGACTTGAGAACGTACTTAACATTTCTTATTTCGAGGAATTGTCACTTGTCAATTGAGAAGTGAAGTGTAGCATTATTTTTTTACACCCAAGTGTGGATTGACAAATAGTCGAATGTTCAATTTTTTAGCCAGCTTTCGTTGTAGCGAGCAGTAGAATGCATTTTTGGAGTGGGTTGCTCATCGATGATAGTCTGTTCCTTTGGATCGGAAACGTCCTCAGTATTCCCAGTCGACAACAAGTGATCTTGTATTATTTTTCATGAATCGAACGTATTTTATCCACCACGTGGCTGCTCTCAATTGCTTTTTTCTAATATTAAACGCATTCCTTGTTTCGAAATGAAGTTAGTTGGATGTAATAACTTGACCGATAATAATGAACAACTTCATCAAGACAACAGTATTAATTTGTCGATATTATGCGGTTGGCATTAAGACTCTCGATGTTTTATTGAAGATACCCAGCAGCATTGAGGTCAGTTGGAACTACAACGGCCGGCAATGTGTTACAATTGGCCATGTGATTAGTACTTATTGAACATGCGTTGATGTTTATTCATTGACTGATGACACCGACTTTGATTATTGGAGAGAAAGATAATTTAGTTAGGACTATGGTTTTGTTTTATTCAGGAGATTAGTTTTATTTCGGAAAAAGGATGTTTTACCGATGTGTGCGTAGTTATTGGGAAATATTTTTGTTGCTGCTAGGTATCTTAATTGGAACAAAATTTGGAGGGAACATCAGTCTAATGGAAAGTCTTGAATATTACTACTAATCTCCATATGTTTGATGATTTTTTTATTTCGAACATTAGTGCCTTCTGTTATTTTCGCATCATTGATTATGTATACGTGTATTTGTATTAATAGCAGGAAGTTTATTTCAATAAAGTTATTTCTTGACGATAAAACAATTGTTATCATTCGAACCTAGTTATAACGTCGATTTTAATTATTGAGGGAGAAATATTTTTGGGGCGATTGCATTTTTATTGTATTAAAGGGATTAGTTTCAATTTGAAAAAAAATATTCTACTGATTTTGAATAGGTAACTGGTAGAAACGGAGACATAGAAAAAGCGACGACACATTGATTTAAAGATAGTTAATTATCAAATTTGTGAATCAAATTGCATAAGAAAATTTTGATGAATGTGGCTACTGTCAAGGGCTTTTATTTTAATATTAAACGTATTCCTTTTTTCGAAATGGAGTTATTTGGATGTAATAACTTGACCGATAATAATGAAAAACTTCATCAAGACAACAATGTTAATTTGTCGATATTATGCGGTTGGCATTAAGACTCGATGTTTTATTGAAGATTCCCAGTAGCATTGAGGTCAGTTGGAACTACAACGGCCGGCAATGTGTTACAATTGGCCATGTGATTAGTACTTATTGAATATGCGTTGATGTTCATTCATTGACTGATGACACCGACTTTGATTATTGGAGAGAAAGATAATTTAGTTAGGGCTATGGTTTTGTTTTATTCAGGAGATTAGTTTTATTTCGGAAAAAGGATATTTTACCGATGTGTGCGTAGTTATTGGGAAATATTTTTGTTGTTGCTAGGTATCCTAATTGGAACAAAATTTGGAGGGAACATCAGTCTAATGGAAAGTCTTGAATATTACTACTAATCTCCATATGTTTGATGATTTTTTTAGTTCGAGCATTAGTGCCTTCTGTTATTTTCGCATCATTGATTATGTATACGTGTATTTGTATTAATAGCAGAAAGTTTATTTCAATAAAGTTATTTCTTGACGATAAACGCATTGCTATCATTCGGACCTAGACATAACGTCGATTTTAATCGATAGATCGGCATCAATCATTACTTCAGTAATATTATGAGAAGTTGTACCTTACAATAATCAAGTCCTTACCTATCTTCATTGAAATTTGAAAAATAATATAATAATTGGTAATTTAAATTTCTCAATTATTGGGTGATAAAATAATTCGGAATTTGAATATTTAAATTGATGGTTAATTTAATAATCGAAAACTTGGTGAGTAATAAGGAAATAATTGAGGACTAACAGTGATATTCGATCTTAACTAATTTTAACGAATAATTTCAACAAATAGTCTTAACGAATTTACAAGAAATTCCTATTTTTGTAGAATTAATTGACGTTATTTAATCATTAAGGAGAGCAGGAGGCATACGCAGGTCTAAAATGAAGTAAACATTTGTAACACCAAAGAGATGAATCAATTAAAAAAAAATTATTGAGAGAACAATATTTTTCTTGTACTGAGGTGATTAGTTTTAACTTGAAAAAAAAATATTTCACTGGTTTTGTATAGGTAATTGGTAGAAACAGAAACATATTTTCCCCCTTCAAATGCCTTCTACAGTTCTCTAGCGACGACACGTTGATTAAAAAATTTTTAATAATGAAATTTGCCAACCAAATTGCATGAGAAAATTGTGATAAGATTCATGGATAATCAGCGTTATGTAGATTATATTATGTAGACAAATTTTCTTTTTTCAGTATTCAGTTTTTACAAATACTCAAAAATTCGTCAAACTTTTGAAAATCTGTTTTTTATGTAATGGAATCGATTTCTCGTTAAATTTTGTTTTGATCCCAGTAAAGATCAACAAGCTATAGAATTTTTTTTTTTCCATTCCACCGTATACCTTTCGGTTTTACGGTTTCTTATTCCTTCATCCCGTTTTTTCCGCATATTTGTTTTTCCCAAATGCTCTTTCCAGTTTTTCCAAACAATATTTCTTTCCTGAGGTGTTCCCCCGCGAGGTCACCCATCCATCTAGTGACCACGCTCAGCGCTGCTTAGTTTCCCAAAGCTAAGCCTGCCCACCACCGCAGTGCGCTAGCTCCGTAGGGGCTACCAGACTGGAATATTGGTTATCCATAAATTATTTATAGTGAGTTGTCGTGCTTTTCAAAAATAACAATTTCCAACGAATCCATGAATGTCCTTAAAAATATTATTTCTATTTTTTTTCCACAATTTAGTTGGAAAATTCGAAAGCTGAAAATACCCGAATCAAGCACGAACTCTCCTGCAACCGTTAATGACACCCTAAATCGTTAATAACAAACACATGTCAATTCGATTTACCCTTTACCTGAGTTTTCGAGAGATATCTCTGAATCTAAGCGAGATAACGGAATTTTCATAAGAACCTTTTTTGTAGCTCTCAATTAGCTCTACAAAAAAGGTCATGACAAAAATTTCGCTATCTCCCTCAGATTCCGGGGTATTCACTGAAAACTAGCCAATAGTCAAAATCGACTTGAACCGTTTACCCCTTCGCCACTATTAATTCGCAAATATTAATTCCATTAAAAGTACTCCTTGATAAAACAATGGCTCTCAATTACTCCTCTCATCCCACCGCCTCGAAGCAAACGAGCCCGGCAAATGAATCTCAAACACAATCCCAGGAAGTCCATCAAATAAAAACTGTAACCATATGTTCAGTAGACTGAACATTAGTATACATCTCGTGTCTCTCCAGGCCTTTATTCCCCTGACATTTGCTCGGGAGGGGGGAATCGCCAGTAGTGGGCGATCGAACGTAAAAAATCTTTAACAACGTTCTACCCCCCCCCCCCCCCCCCCCCCCCCCCCCCCCCCCCCCCCCCCCCCCCNCTCCCTCTCCTCATCGTTCTCCTCGCGACCCCCATCCATGATCCTCGTGAAATGAATGGAATGCCGGCCCACGCTTCTGCCAGGGATATATGAACGGCAACCCACCCGCACCTCGCCATATACCAAAGCAAACTCCAACGATACTATTACTGTGCTTTACTATTCCCCCACTCTGTGCCACCCCCGCAAATCGATACTATTACTTTGCAGCTCTAGTTCTAGTTCTCGTTCTCATTCTCGTTCTAGAGTAGATGATTCAATTTATGATGGGTATTTAATGTTGAGTGAATGAATAGGGCGGGATGGAATGGAAAAAATAGTTTTGATTTTTTAAACAGTTCATTACTCACGATTTTCTCGAAGGAAATGAACGTAATGAAAAGGAAAAAAGTTTAATTGGATGGGGGAAGGGTTGATGAGCAATACACTTTACTCAACGTGAGCGTAATTTGTACCGAAATTGTGAAATTTGCCCTGCATTTCCTCAAAAATTATTCAACTGAGGAGAAAAAAAATTCTCCAGTAGAATGACTAAATTCAATAGACTGCGGTCGGGACTGTCCAATTTTTTCAGTAAATTTTTCTTGTAAACTAATATCGAGAATTATCGTGGTTTTCCTTTTACCTATTTAAAAATCCTATCCAACCATATTCTGTGACGTCACAAAATGTGGAACGTTATATAAACTCCCGTCTTCTATGAAAACGGGAAAAAATTGAAAAAAAAGAGTAATAGTAATAGTAATAGTAGTATTTATTGCATCATTGAATTTGTACATTCATAAATATGGGAGTTCTGCGTAATAAACAAAGATTACTAATAATATTCGATGACAATCTCAATGAAGCAGTGTAAGAAAATTTATTAAGAGACACAACTGGAATGTATGCACGGAGAGAAATATTCAGTAAAAATTACGTATCTTTTCCGTAATTTCGGAGCGAAATGTGGTTGTAGGAAATTTTACGGAACTGTCACCGAATTTTTCCAGAGCATTGCGTAATTTTTACCTGAATCTTCTGTGAAAAATTACGATACCGACACTTAAATTTTCTCAGTTAATTCCATAATCGGTGAGTGAATTGCGAGTTCCGTAATTTTTACTGAATATTTCTCTCCGTGTGGCGTACAGAAAGTGGAATCAAAGCTTTCGATAATGGTTAACAAAACAAAAGGGGTAACAGTGATGCACTAATTGTAGAATTTAGAGGTAGAAATCTTTTATGCAGCTCTAATCGCAGAAGAGTTCTCCAGGGGCTCTGCAGGAGAGGATAATTTTTGCATCCATAGATGTGTTTTTTTTACCGAACAAATCGTAAAATATCCCCCGCAAACAGGCACTTTGCCATTAAATTACATTTCGCTCAAAAATTTTCCACGATTTTCTAAACAATTTTGGTCCAACTTTTCTCTCCGTGTATTCGTCGAATTATTGACAATTAGAAGAAATTATGTTTAAGAACAGCTGCCACGCGCCTTACACCCCGAAGGAGTGACAAAGAGTTGAAAATCTAAATAAAAAGTTTAGCAAATTGTTAATTGAAGGAAATAATGACATGTGATACGAAAGAAACACTTGAATTTTCAAAGAACCTCGACAAGACACGAATTATTCAATTGAGCACAGTTAAATAAAAATACACTTTTAGGAATAAAAAATAAAAATGAGTTATTAAACGTGAAATACAAGTGAAAAGCATTAACAGCCCACCACGGTATTACTCAGCCTAATTCCTTCCCACTGACTTCATTCATAAATTCATTTCTGAGTATTGAGAAAGAATCCATTCCACCGTATTCCAAAATAACTCTGAAATAATAAATAAAACACTTAATCTCCAGTGATTTTCAGAGAAAAAGAAAAGAATTCAAAAACTCGATATCACTTATGAAATTGTTAATTACATGAAATAATGACATGTGAAGTATGAACACATGAATTAATCAATTGAGGTCATAAGTTTTGGTTTATTACAAAGGGGAAGAGATCTACTTTTCACCAAAAAAAATGAAAAAGCCGAAACACTTGGCTTTTCAAAGAACATTCACAATTAATCTAGGTTTATTAATATGAATAAATTGAAAAACCAACGACTTATCACTAGTTCCCTATTGCCTAATACAATTCCTTTCAACTGACTTCATTCATAAACTCATCTCTCATTTTCGAACATAAAAAAATGGCATTTTACCCACTTCAAAATACCTCCGAAGTAATCAAACCACGCAATCTCCAGTTATTTCCACCGAAAAAGAAAAGGAATTAAAATCTCAATTCAACCCATGAGATTGTGAATCGAATGAGATAATGACATGAGGAGTGTAAACACTCAACTTTTCAAAGAACATTCCCAATCAGTCCAAGTTTATCACAAAGACGAAAAAATCTCCTTTTTTATTCTAAATAAAAAACAATTTCTTCCACCTGACTTCATTCATGAATTCACCTCTCCCTTCCAAGCCCCCAAAAAAGCCATTCATAACAAAAAGAAAAAACCCTCCTTTTGTATTTTAAAAAACCTAAAAAACCAACGATGTATCAACACCTCCCCTTGCCTAATCCACCTCCTTCCACCTGACTTCATTCATGAATTCCCCTCTCCCTCCCAAGCCCTCACAAATCACCATTTAACCCACTCAAAAATACCTCCGAAATAATCAAACCACGCAATCTCCAGTTATTTCCACCAAAAAAGAAGGATTCACAATCTCAATTCAACTCATGAAATTGTGAATCGAATGAAATAATGACATGAGCAAAGTAAACACCCAACTTTTCAAAGAACATTTCCAATCAGTCAAAGTTTATCACAAAGACGAAAAAATCTCCTTTTTTATTCTAAATAAAAAACAATTCCTTCTACCTGACTTCATTCATGAATCCCCCTCTCCCTCCCAAGCCCCCACATCCACCATTTAACCCACTCAAAAATACCTCCGAAATAATGAAACCACGCAATCTCCAGTTATTTCCACCAAAAAAGAAGTATTCACAATCTCAATTCAACTCGTGAAATTGTGAATCGAATGAGATAATGACATGAGGAGTGTAAACACCCAACTTTTCAAAGAACATTTCCAATCAGTCAAAGTTTATCACAAAGACGAAAAAATCTCCTTTTTTATTCTAAATAAAAAACAATTCCTTCTACCTGACTTCATTCATGAATCCCCCTCTCCCTCCCAAGCCCCCACATCCACCATTTAACCCACTCAAAAATACCTCCGAAATAATGAAACCACGCAATCTCCAGTTATTTCCACCAAAAAAGAAGTATTCACAATCTCAATTCAACTCGTGAAATTGTGAATCGAATGAGATAATGACATGAGGAGTGTAAACACCCAACTTTTCAAAGAACATTTCCAATCAGTCAAAGTTTATCACAAAGACGAAAAAATCTCCTTTTTTATTCTAAATAAAAAACAATTCCTTCTACCTGACTTCATTCATGAATCCCCCTCTCCCTCCCAAGCCCCCACATCCACCATTTAACCCACTCAAAAATACCTCCGAAATAATCAAACCACGCAATCTCCAGTTATTTCCCCCGAAAAAGGAAATAATGTAAAAAATCTTTCCCCGTGGGTATAAGGACGTGGGTGGTAGGGCAGCTCGGATCTAGTATCTACTCACCTCTCCTCTCCTCTCCTCACCGCGCCGCTCGCACCACCCTCTCCCCTCTCCCTGTTATTTACCACTTGCCCTCGCGTGCGCGCCGAGTTCCCCCCAAACTCCCGACACAACCCACGCCTCGTTAATGAAAACATCTTTTGTCAATGAACTGACGTCAGTCTCCTCCCCGATTGGCTGGCTGCCCTGTACCATGTGACTTTCCTCCAATGAGAGCTGAGGGTCCCTCTCTGCGCTCATCGTGCCCGCCGCCATTTGCCCATTCTCCAAGGAAGGACGCTAGTGGCAAGGTGTGGCTGCCTCTCCGCTCCGACCATCGTGGGCACTTGACAAGTTCCAAGCCTGCTGTGTGCCAGGGCCACTGTGGCTTGTTCAAGACGACTGAAATATCGTTCGTGGGGGGCTGCTACCGTGTGGAATTATCGAGTGACTGATGAGACACCGAGAGATATCGGTTTGGAGTGCAATTGACCCGGGGGTATGCGGTTGAATATTAATCCCAGGGGTTTAAGAGCCACCGAGTGACTGACAATTGTCAATTTTTTAATTGTCAACGAGGGAAGAACGCGTTATCACAAGATTCGCGATGTGGGAGACTAAAGTGAAGTGACGGAGCAACAGTGGCACTGAGTGACTGCCGGTTTTAAGTGAAAAGTGAGAATGCGGGATAAATAATAAACAGGGAACACAGAATTGGGCGAGCGACTGGGCCGTTACGCGCAGCATCCCTCCATGAGCGATCAGTGGGTACCATGAGAGAGAGCGAGAGAGGAGGCGGTCAATTTTTTTATCACCGGAAGAGGAACAGCGGCGCGAGGAGGGATGATAAGAGCCAAGTGTTGATACTGGCAAATTTGTTCACGGGGTTTTAATCGAGGGTGCGACAGTGCCGGGGAATTTGCTGGATCAACAGTATTTTTAATCAACGCTGAGGTTGTGATAGCGAGTAAATACGCTGGGTGGATCAATAATGGGGAGCTGGGACTCTCGCGGAGTCGGTTGGCTCCAGTGGATCTCGTTGTTTATGATGTTGAGAGGTTAATTGTCGTGAAGTGATCGGGGGCTTTGGGCTTGGGCCGTTGATTAGTGAGCGATCAGGTGATTCTGGGGTTTATGCGACGGGGAATAAGGCACAATGCCGGGGGAGGGTATGAGTGAGGAGGGCTTTGTGAGGGCCGAGTGGCTGTTCAGGGAGTTGAGGGCTCAGGGGGGACCTGAGAGGTTACTCATACTCGATTGCAGAGGACATTTGGACTTTTTAGAGGCTCATGTCAGGGGCTCGGTGCCACTGGCCATACCCAGCATCATGCTGAGGCGTCTTGCTGCTGGCAAAGTTGACTTATTAGCGACAATAAGGTGCATTGAGCTCAGGAACAGGGTCGAGGCGTTTTTGTATGGGGACGACGATAATCGGGGGACGTTCATACTCGTTGGGGACAACACTGATCCAGCTGGACATCAGGGGGAGACTATTCAGGTGCTCAGCAGGCGACTGAGGAACTGCGGCGGCTGCGTTGCGACACTCATCGGTGAGATTTTTTAATCAGTATTTTTTTATTATGGCTGGATTGATCAGCGTGGGCGACCCTGTTGGCCAACGAGATGGAATTTAATTATCCATTTATAAATCGGGGGAAATTATGGGGGGTGATTGCACAATTATTGATTGAGGGAGATTGCAGGGGGGAGGGGATTTTTCTGGTGAAGTGATATCGTCGTCTGTCGACGGAATATCAGACCGGAAATGTTGGTATTCATCACGTGATGGTATCGGGGAGATATCAGCTGAAGTGATGGACGAGGCAGCCGGCATCGAGTTGTGAATGAAATATTGATTTGAGAGCTGGCGTTAGGCTTTCCTTTCTTTTTCCTTTAACATCTGATTTCAGGGAATGCTGGGGGTATGGGCAAGGGCATGGGCAGCCCATTCACCCTTTCAGACGGCTTTGTTTGTTCTTGGGGGAGGGGGGTTAACGTTTTTTATTAACGTTTTGCTTTTTACGGGGGAATGGGGGAGTCGTTGGAGTGCTCGGGGCTTTTGGGGTGGAGGGCTGATCAAGGGGGTTATTTATTCATTTTTTTGGTATTGAATGTTTTAGTTGAAGCCATTTATAGGGTCAGTTAGGTCCGCGGGTGGAGAGATAATTGTTGACAATGCAGAGGAAAAATTCATTTTTCAGAGCGGTTTTTGGTGTGGAAATTTTTTAGAGCGGTTTTTTGTCCCAGTTGATCAATTATTTCACGCAGATTGACATTTTTGGATATATCGAGTTGATCGAGAATTTTATTTGTGTACTAGGGGGCTCGCCAACCCCCATATGACCCCCTTATTCGGACCCTTGTGACCGTAGGGGTACTAGAGAACTAAGGAATTAGTTTCTGACCCGTAATTTTAGAGTCTTAATTTTGAATACGAAATTTTCATCATCAGAAGTCGATTTGGATTTTGATAATGTAGAGAGAGCCCCATATAACCCCCATGGACCTTATTCTGACTCTTATTTTGACCCCCATGACCTTATTCTGACCCTTGTGACCCTTAATCTGATCCTCGTGGCTTTTATTCTGACCCCCATTATAACCCTCGTTCATTTTTATAATATAGAATTTTTATTAATATAGAATTACTAGGGGGCTACGCCCCCTGCTCGCTCCGCTCGCCAATCCCCATATGACCCCCATGACCTTAGTCTGATCCTTGTGACCCTTAATCTCATCCTCGTAATCCTCATTCTGACCCTCATTGTGCCCCTCGTGACCCCCATTTTGACCTTTCATTTCTGACCTTGAATTTTTGGATTTCGATTTGAATTTTTATAATATGGAGAGATATTGAGAGATATTGAGACCCTTATTTTGACCCTTGTGACCCTTAGTTTCTGACTCCCATGACCCTTATTTGGACCCTTAATCTTACCTTTGTGATCCTTAATCTGACTCTTGTGATCCTCATTTGGATGCTTAATCTGACCCTCGTGAACCTTATTTTGACCCTGGTGATCCTTTGTTTCTTAGCCTTGGTTTTTGACTCCTATGTCCCTTATTTGGATCTTTATTCTGACTCTTGTGACCCTTCATCTGATCTTTGTGACACTTATTTAGACCTTCTTGCCCTTGTTTGGGACTTTAATCTGATCCTTGTGACCCTTAATTTCGAAGTCTTAATTTCGAGTACCAAATTTTTATCACCGGAAGCCGATTTGGATTTCTATAATATAGATTTTTATAATATAAACAGATTTGTTTTGGTATCGAATATTTCAGTTGAATAGATGAGGCCAATTACGTGACCAATAAGTCGTGCGGATGTAAATATCATTCAGTACCGAAGCGATAATAGTATATTTCGTAACGAGCTAAAAAACATTTTTTCACGAGTTATGAACAATATTTTTCATCACAATGTGGGGGAAATTGGACTTTTAGGCACGCGGAGCGTGCCGAAAAGTTCACTTTTCGTCACAGCGTGATGAAAAACGGTTTAAGGACATTCAAGCATCCTTGCAGTGTGGTGCAGACTACACTATCCATTCAGCCCTTTTCAATCATCAAATTTGTTAATTAAATTGCGTGAGAGAAATTTGAAAAAAATCATAAATATTCAGTGTCTTTCAAATTCCATTTTGCACAGAATTATTATGTTTTTACACATTCGTCGTTTATAAATAAATACGTGAAATTGTTTAAACTTTTAAACTTCATATTTTTATTTTTTTTATAAACTATTTATAGAAAATGCTCGTAATTTTCAAAAATTACACTTTTTATATTATTTCATCAATCTCCTTCCTAAAGTTCACTTTCTAATCTTTTTCGGATTTTTAAAATATTTTTCAAATCCAGACCTACAAAGTTTAAATAACAAATTCATGGTAAAAAGTCCAGAAACTTAGGGTCAAATAGGGCTCAAATGAAAGCTCTGATGTTCGATTACAAAAGTAGAAAAGCATTTCGCAAAAAAAAAATAGCTAACGTACTTGGATACCCTCAAGACCTTTTTTGTAAAGGAGAATGAGCGCTACAAGAAGAGTACGGAAAATAATTCCGCTATATCTCTCGACTTTGGTACTTTCCCTTTTACAAATGGATATAACCAATAAGAGATAACACCAACATCTCATGGATTCGAAAATATCCTGTAAAAAATGTGATATTGTAGAGGGAAAACCGACTTGGCTCGTTTTATCATTTGACTATTGAAATATCATTGATACTACGGTGAAACCTGGCGTTGTAGGAGGCTTTGGGGCATTCCGAGACCGATATCCAGAGTGGTGCGAGGGTAGTCAGGCCAACACTGAAGGACAAACCGGTCAGGATACGAATGTTGGGGAACTAATGGGATTGCGATCGTTGAGGATTTCCACACCTCCCACGAGAGCCTATTCGGACAGTGACAGCGACAGTACTTGTGATTCTGTTGGTAAGATACCAGTAGTTGACTCAGATATTGACTCATTGTCATTGTGTACTGATAAGTGGGTGATATGAATTCAGGAGTGAAGTAGTAAAGCGCAGCTAAACAAAACTGAACAGTTTATTCTTCACATCTTATGAATTTTCATTTGTCTCGATATTTATGGATTACAAAACTGTGAGACACTACAAAATTTTGAGAGATGTTTTCTCAGCTACAAAAAAACCTTCAGATACTTTGGTATAAATTATTTAATACCGTGATGATTCGCCAATTATTGAAGGGAAAAATCAATCAATTGAAATTTCTGATGAATTGGTAATGATTGAATCACCTCCGTGATTAGTTGTTTTAAGAGGAAGTGTCAGAAGACAATTTTCTTGGAAATTTTCTTAGTTACAAAAAAGTCTTCTGGTATTTTTCTCTGAATACACTTTCTGAGATGATTGCACAATTAATAAATGGCAAAATGACTAAATTGGAATATCATATCGTCAATGAATTCCTAATGATGGAATTATTTCCGTAAAAATATCAGAAAACTGTTTTTTTTCCATTTTTTTCAGTTTTAAAAATACTTGCTGAACATTTTGCTCTGAAAAAACATCGAGTCAAGCGATGAATAGCAAAATGATTCATTTGAATAGAATGACCTTAATAAGTTGCTAATGATTGAATAATCTTAATAATTAGTTATTTTAAGAGGAAATGTCAAAAGACAGTTTTGTCGAAAATTCCCTTAGTTATAAAAAAAGTCTTCTGGTATTTTTCTCTGAATACACTTTCTCTGAACACTCGTCACCGAGATGATTGAACAATTAATAAATGGCAAAATGACGAAATTTGAATATCATATTATCAAAGAACTCCTAATGATGGAACTATTTCTGTAAAAATATCAGAAAACTATTTTTTTTCATTTTTTTCAGCTTTAAAAATACTTGCTGAACATTTTGCTCTGAAAAAACATCGAGTCAAGCGATGAATAGCAAAATGATTCATTTGAATAGAATGACCTTAATAAGTTGCTAATGATTGAATAATCTTAATAATTAGTTATTTTAAGAGGAAATGTCAAAAGACAGTTTTGTCGAAAATTCCCTTAGTTATAAAAAAAGTCTTCTGGTATTTTTCTCTGAATACACTTTCTCTGAACACTCGTCACCGAGATGATTGAACAATTAATAAATGGCAAAATGACGAAATTGGAATATCATATCGTCAATGAATTCCTAATGATGGAATTATTTCCGTAAAAATATCAGAAAACTGTTTTTTTTTCATTTTTTTCAGTTTTAAAAATACTTGCTGAACATTTTGCTCTGAGAAAACATCGAGTCAAGCGATGAATAGCAAAATGACTCATCGGAATAGAATGATCTTAATAAGCTGCTAATGATTGAATAATCTCAATAATTAGTTATTTTAAGAGGAAATGTCAAAAGACAGTTTTGTCGGAAATTTCCTTAGTTATAAAAAAAGTCTTCTGGTATTTTTCTCTGAATACACTTTCTCTGAACACTCGTCACCGAGATGATTGAACAATTAATAAATGGCAAAATGACGAAATTTGAATATCATATTATCAAAGAACTCCTAATGATGGAACTATTTCTGTAAAAATATCAGAAAACTATTTTTTTTCATTTTTTTCAGCTTTAAAAATACTTGCTGAACATTTTGCTCTGAAAAAACATCGAGTCAAGCGATGAATAGCAAAATGATTCATTTGAATAGAATGACCTTAATAAGTTGCTAATGATTGAATAATCTTAATAATTAGTTATTTTAAGAGGAAATGTCAAAAGACAGTTTTGTCGGAAATTTCCTTAGTTATAAACAAGTCTTCTGATATTTTTCTCTGAACACTCGTCACTGAGATGATTGCACAGTTAATAAATGGCAAAATGACTAAATTGGAATATCATATCGTCAATGAATTCCTAATGATGGAATTATTTCCGTAAAAATATCAGAAAACTGTTTTTTTTTTCATTTTTTTCAGTTTTAAAAATACTTGCTGAACATTTTGCTCTGAGAAAACATCGAGTCAAGCGATGAATAGCAAAATGACTCATCGGAATAGAATGATCTTAATAAGCTGCTAATGATTGAATAATCTCAATAATTAGTTATTTTAAGAGGAAATGTCAAAAGACAGTTTTGTTGGAAATTTCCTCAGCTACAAAAATCCCTTCTGGTATTTTCAAAATGACTCAATTGGATTATCATATCGTCAAAGAATTCCCAATGACGGAATCATTTCGGTACCGAATCGTTTTCGGAGAAAATATCACAAAACTGTTTTTTTTTTTATTTTCTTCAGCTTCGAAAATATTTGCTGGACATTCTGCTTTGAAAAAACACACTATCGAGTCAATTAATGAAGAGCAAAATCATTCATTTGAATATAATATTCTTAATGAATTCCTTATGATTGAATAATCTCAACAATTACTTGCTTTAAGAAGAAATATCAGAAAATAGTTTTTTTGAAAATTTGCTCACATGTACAAAACGAAAATGCCAGACGACGTTTTACACTTTTTTAGAGCATTTTGCTCTGAAAAAAATAATTACCAATATAATTAATGCATCCCAAAATGACTCATTAGGAAACTTTGTCGATACTGAGCTGTTCCAGCAATAAATGTCGAAAGACATATTTCGTTGAACATTTTCGTCAGATAGAAAAATGGTCCCTTGACATTCTACTCTAAGAATATTCATTACCAAAAGAATCGAACGAAGGTCGAATACCAATAAAAATGTCGAATTGGACACATCACGATTTACAATTTCCCTCCTGAATCGTTAAAAAAAGCACTAAAAATGGAATGACTATTTCAAATTACAAGTAGGCCCAGATGAGGATAAAGACTTCCCTGTGGAAATTCTACCACATCTATATCTCGGCAATGCAGCAAACAGTGAAGATCACGAGGCTCTGGCACGCCATCGGATACAGTACATACTTAATGTAACGCCAGACCTGCCAAATGTATTTGAGAGCGCGGGTGCTATAAAATACATGCAGATACCCATCAGCGATCACTGGAGTCAGAATTTGGCGAGCTTCTTTCCGCAGGCTATTCAATTCATTGGTAAGAATATTTTTGTTGTTGTTGGAAATCAGTTGTGGAGTGGTAACACCAGATGACTATTCAGTTTTTGAGCGGAATGAGAGCATCTGCCTTACACTGAAAGAATAAATAAGATTCCCACAAACAATTCTTGAAGGAAATATATAATTCAAGAGGCCCCGTACAAAAAAATTTTCTAGAAAAACCAATTCGGTAGAAAATTCTAGTGGATTTCTATTGAGCTTCTGTTGAAGTTTCTATTAGTTTTGGCTCATTCTATGGAAGAATTCTGCAGCTGTATGGCGGTTTTTTCATAGAAAATATCCAATAGAAAGTATTTCACAGAATAAATCAGTAGAATTTTGTCTCTCTTTGCAACTCTTTCTATGAAGCCATTTTCCATAGGAATTCCTTAATAAATTTTGAATGTCTTCTCACTCCACTTCTCTTCTTTTTTCATTTAAAAAATCAAACAAAAAATTTGAGCTGAAAAATTTTACAGAAAATATCTTCATGGAATAAGTTGTATAGAATAATCGAATTCTATGGATTTTTTCTATCTCAGAACACTTTAAATATTCAACACGACATTTTTATATTCAAACAAGAATTGATTGAGAACAAGACTTTTCTCTCAATGTTGATTCAGAGATATTTATTTTTTAAACAAAAAAATCAATCAGCTTGTTTTTTTATCTCAATGTAGATTCAGAAATATTTATTTTTTAAATAAAAAACATCAATTACCTGTCGTAGGGTTTAATTGTAAATAATTTAGGTCAACACTTTTCGAATTGATATTCATAATTGTGAAGTCATTCTTTAGGGATTATTCAGTAGTTATGACTGGAGGAGTAAACGCTCAGATTAATTCTCCTCTCGCTCGCTCATAGTTCATCACATGTACTCGACCCTTGTTTATATGCCTCTGATGCCCCACTATGCTACCATAATATACGGAGTTCAATGTTCTCTTGGCATTCGACGTAAACGCAAAATTTAATTCGCGAGTAACGTCGTGCAGATGTCCCCCGAGTTTCAATCGAGCTGATTGTACGAAAGTCATAAATAATATTGAGGAGGAATATCTCAGTGGTGAAGTGGTAAAACGGAATCGGTCAATTTCATTTGAGACTAGATTAATTTCACGTCAGTATCTCGGAATGTAAGAGAAATGGACATTTCTTTGATAAGGATTTTTTTTAAATTTCGTTGCGCTCCACTCCTTTTAGATTCAGATATTACGACAATTTTTAAATTGAAGTGGAGTAACAAAACGGGATGAGCTATTTCAATTGAAAATACATCTATTTTTCGTAAATATCTCGTCATCGAAGTGCAGTTCACAGGAATTATATGAACTTTGTTCTAACATTTTTCCATAAATCATTAATAAACCATCAATTTTTCACCCCGGAAATAATTTTTTTTCGAAAACGTGGAGGAATTATTCCATATTCAGAATTTTAGTAAAAATTTCATGTCGGAAAAACTGAAAATTCCGAAAGCTTACTTATTTATGGGACGAGAATGTTAAATTTTGTTTTCAAGCATTAATATATTAATAATATCAAGAATACTGAATACTCATGAATCTTTTCAAATTTTTCTGACGCAATTCAACGGACCAATTCGACGATCAAATCGACGATATCTTTAAATCTACACAAAAAAATTCACAAAAAATTGCAAAAAAAATGCGGTAAAAATTACTGAACTGCACACGGTAGAAATACTCTGAAATTCATCCGTCTTTTTTGTATTTTTTTATTAAGAAATAGATTTGGTTGGAGTCTATTCAAATGCACATTGGTTAATGATTTTATTATCAACATAACATAATTTATTTTATTATTAAAAAATGCATATTTGAGGAGCCATTCGTTAACTATTCGTTAACGAATGCACACTTGCCGAGACCAAATCGACCCCAGTCTTCAATCAAAGTCATTTTTTAACAATAACTAATCCCTTCTATCGGTGCACTGAGGGAAGGATTTAGTTGATGTTACGAGTCTTCTCAACTATTACCACAATTCCTTAATTACGATTCCACAATTCCTCGAGAACGCTCGTAAACAGCAACTAAATCAGCAAAAAATCCGTCAACCCGGTAATTTCAGAGATATTTACAAAAAATTATTTCACCAATTCACCAGCAATGTGTTCCGCCCCGCGCTACATTCAACTACCATCTTCCCAGCGGATCTCCTGCATGGATTATAATTCAAGACAGATTACAATATTCTCCCCCGACGTTCGGATATCCGGATTGGGCGTGTCTCAAATAGATTTTCCGTTAAGGTTTGCAATTGCTTCAAAAACGCCTAAAGTAGCTGGGATTTCTTACGAATAGCAATTTTCCCATATGGTGAGCAGCACTGAAATACCCACTGCGCAGTAGACAATTAAACAACGGATATCCGCTTTGAAACATAGAAAGTGTACTTACATGGGCGACGGAAACGGTTGAACATGAAAGCATTGTTATCTTATTTACCATTTTTTTTTTCAAAGGTGGGATAAGATCTCTGCTTGTATTTATGGGTATTTATATACATGCAATTGTCAGTTCCTTTCATGGGTTATTAGTGGGGATATCTTTCACTTTATGTATTCATTGCTTTCTTTGTGCGTTTTCCCTCTTGTAATGTTACATGTTACCCTGAAAAATTCCCACTGGGCTGATACTGTTCATCAAGGCTTCCCAAATTATGATGTTTGCATCACTTTTCCGAGGGGATAATTACTACGAACAGAGTTGTACGCCGGATTTTAAGCAGGATTTTGAAATTTATTGGAAAAATCTTTAAATACGTTGCTATAAAACCACTTGAAATCGCGATTAATGACTAATTAGTGAAAAAAGAGATGAATCAATTAAAACTCTAATGAATTGCTAATGATTGAATTTGCTTAATCAGTTTTAAGAGGAACGGGGGTCGGCTTTAATAGTTTTCTTTTTTTACAAAAAAAAAAAAAATAGAATAATTCAAACTGAAATATTCCATTAAACGTGCGGATTTAATGCTGTATAATAAAATGTTGCTTTTACATGTGATTTTTCCCTGGGCGCCAGGTCAACATTGAACTCCAACGGGATTAGTTCATTAAAATGAGTTTATTTATTTGTTATTTATAGACCTAACAGCTTAATACCAATTACAGAGTCAAGTTAAATACATGCATTCTTTCATGGCAAATGTAAAGTTGTATTTATTTATTCAATTAATTAATTCAGTAGCGAAGTGGTGAAACGGTTTGTCGACTCATCTCCCAGTTGAGTTTTTGAGGAATATTTCCGAATCTAAGGGAGATAGCAAAATTTTCGTTATAACCTTTTTTGTAGAGCCGGTTGAGAGCTACAACAAATGTTATAACGAAAATTTCGCTATCTGCCGTAGATTCGGAAATACTCCTCAAAAACTCAACTGGGATATAAGTCGACTTAAACCGTTTTACTACTTCGCTACTGAATTGTATGATAAATTAAAATATCCAGGCAATATTTCTCCATAATTATTTTCATTTAGATATCTATGAGTTATGTAGAAAGGGTGAATAGGGGAATTAGAGAAAATAGAACTCCATGCCAGTTCCCCATTAATTTGAATGTCTAAACATTATTGTAAAAATGAAAATTTCCAATGTATCAATAATTGTCATAAATGTTTTAAATTTCCAGAGGAAGCCCGAAACTCGGACAAGGGTATACTAGTCCATTGTTTAGCCGGTGTATCCCGATCTGTCACCATAACAATAGCATATCTCATGCACAAATGCAATTTGAGTCTGAACGATGCGTTTAATCTAGTACGAAGTAGAAAATCCAATGTCGCTCCGAATTTCCACTTCATGGAGCAATTGCACAGCTTCGAGCGTGAGCTGAGGGATCGTGACGATCGTAAACGGAATAATCAACGATGCATTGGGGCTTGCCAACCCAATGGGCCGTGCAATTGTCCAGCGCCGAGTTTCCTGAGTCCACTCGATCTGGGCCTCAGTCCTGACTCGGGAATTGAGTTCGATAGATGGGCAGCCAGTACACCAGCTGAATGAGACGGGCCTGGAGGGACCCAATACAAATTTTAGGTCCCTCCTCCCTAGTTTTCGTTAATTTTTCATGTGTAGAGTTGACACAGGAAATGCCAGTACTAATGTTAATCATTTTACATGTTTGGTGGGAGCGGTTCGCAGGTCGAACAGTTCGATATAGACCGGTACTTTTGAATTTGAAGTTGTGTATGTGTGGATGCGAGTGTAAGTGTGTGTGTGCGTGAGTGAAAATGTGAACTTGGTAGATTTTTCAATGTAGATCTACTGCAAATCTTCGATTTTTTGTATGTTTTTTGAGGAAATCTTTTTCCAATATTGCTTCCATCAATAGATTCGAAGATTTGAGAATGTCTGAGGGACAGCTCCATTGACGAAATAGATTTTGATTTTTTTTTCAAGGAAAGAGAGGACAATTTTAATAATTGGTTGCGACTTATACAGTTCACTGAAATGAAATACATTTTTTAAAGTCACACTTTCCATTCTATTGCTTTTGCATTTCTATTTTTAATGCTGTGTTTCTACTCGATGAAAGGGATTTAATTTGAAGCAGATATTCATGATTTTTTATTAGCTATTAGTTATTGCTGAAAAAACAACGTGATAGGTAATGGTCTGAAGAACCGATTAAACTCAAGAAAAGTGAGCTCAAATGGAAAGAGTGATTTGAAATATCCAGAATTTGTTATTTAACGTTTAAGGACGTCAGTAATTAGTAATTAATATTGATCATATCTATTACTTTAGCGTTCTTTTCAAGCTACACTTTCCATTCGATTGCTTTTGCAGTGCTATTTTTAATATTGTGTTATCACATGAAAAAAAGTATGAAATTTCAAGGAAAAAGTCATTTTTTATTAGTGTAGAGGCCATTCAGGCAAAATGGACACTTTTAACTTCTTTTGAAATGTTGATAACTCGTTGAACTGTGAAAGTACAATTTTTCCCCTCTGTGATGAGACTAGAGTGAGTTTTATTTATGAATTTGTTTCTGAGTTATGAACATTGAAGAAGAAATCCATTCTGCCCGCTCTGCACTATTTATATGAAAAAATTGGTAGCCACTGTTCCAATAAACAAATTTAAAGAAGAAAACTGAAATGTGAAAAATGTGATTCGTATGAAAAGTGTGATTCGCAACAATATTTGTGAACATTTCCAGTAATATTCAACAATTGTTGCCGGAAAAATGTAATTTTTCAAATCCAATACGAACTATTTTATAGAAGAAAAAACTAGAATTTCATCTTTCTATACAACTTCAATATTGAGCCATTCTCTTTAGGAATTCCTTATCCTGAATTTTCCAAGTACTTTCCACTTTATTTTAATTCTTTTTTCGTTGAAAAAAGGCGAACAAACAAACTTGGAAAATTCAAGCCGAGGAATTTCTATAGGAAATATCAACTATAAGTTGTATAGAATAAAATTCCTTTCATTTTTTCTAAAGAATATTTTCTATCGAAAAAGTTGTTGCATTCAAAAATTCCAGAAATCTAATTTTTTAAAAGCCAATTCATTGCAGGGACTGGATCAAACGACTAGTTATTCTCTTCCTCTACACATTCGAATAACCATATTTATCTACTAAGTTCACATGAAATAATCCATACCTACTCCCTAAAAATATTCCACTCCTGCAGGCCAGGGGAAAAGTTTTTACAAAATGACGTTTCTATATAAACGCCTGTTCCTTAGAATAAATTCCTGTCAATTTGTTAGTCACTGTAAGACACCTCGATAACTTGAACCATCTAGATACCAATCTCTGCGCGTCTTATATAGAATGAGTCGAAGTAACCACAGCTTCCTGCCTCCTGTTTCCATACGCCTTTCCACATTATTTTTCACCAATCCCTTTTTTTTAAATTCCTCGTTCTCATTTCTCTACAGTAAAAATCATGAGAGACTCCGAAAATATTGCTTCATGATTTAGGGAGAGAGTAGATAGGACTGTTAATACTTCTACGTAAAATACAGAGAGATCTAGTAGAAAAAAACTGACTTCTTTTTATACCTATTTTAATTCATTTAATTGATTAATTCGAAATGTTCGAATTCTTTATGTCATCGCAGTATTGGACTCTTGAAAGTATTCTATGAATTGATGTGACGATGAAAGAATAAAACTAGACGACAATTGTGTCGGAATCTGCGATTATTTGTAATAAAACGTACAATTCACCTAGTGGCATGATTATTATTTTAATTCTAATTGAAACACAAAAAAGGAAAAAGATTGAATGATTAAAGTGTAAGAATAAAAATCAATACATTAAAATAAAGGGATGAATAAGCTCGTAGTAATTGACTCTAACAATGTGTCTGACATCTAATTTATCCGATATTCAAATGAATGAATGGAGAGCATTACTTATTTATGGTGTATCGATATTGTATGGGTGTGTCAAATCGTTCAGCAATTCACAAAGATGTCCATACGTATTTTTAGAGTATAATTTTATACCTGTTGTATAGCATTATTGGATCACAATGCTGTATATTGTGGATATTCGTATTATCGTTGAAGACGTCGATTATCGAGGCTGTGTTACATTTCTTCGATATAATCGTCAATTATCTGATGTAATCAAGGCACTTATGGGATTGCAATTTAGAGGATTGGGTCACGCACGAAAAAAAATCATAGAAAAATCTAGTGAATTTTTTATTTTTATGGGCAACTTTTGCTATTGAGACATTCTCTTTAGGAATTCCTTGACATGATTTTTTGTACCATTTTTCAGGTTATTTTTCTTCTCTTTTTATTGAAACATCGAATAAGAAAACTTGGAAAATTCGCGCCGAAGAATTTCCTACGAAAAATCAAATTTCATAAAGTTTTTCTGGAGAATATTTTCTATTGAAAAAATTACGCAGATAAGCTGCGGAAATTTTCAATAGAATCATTGAACTTTTATTGAAAATTTTGTTAGTTTCTGACCGATTCTATTGACAGATTTGGCAGCTTTATTGCATATTTTTATAGCGGGTCTAATCGGAACTCTTTATAGAAAAAATCCGCAGAATTTTATTTTTCTATGCAACTTTGCTATTGATACATTCTCTGTAAGAATTTATTGATATGAATTTTCGTAGTATTTTTCACTTTATTTTTCTTCTCTTTTTATTAAAAAATCGAACAAAAAACTTGGAAAATTCTTCGGCTCGAATTTCCATAGAAAATACCTCAATAGAATAAATTGCGTAGAAAAATCGAATTCCATTAATGTTTTCTACGAAGTTTTTTCGTGTGGGGCGATGAAAATGTTACTGAATTGTGAATGGATTTTGGTTACTTGGGGTGAACTTATCGCATATAGAACGAGATAAAAAATTCATTCGACAAGATATAATCAGTGATCGATGAATCTAATAAAAGAAAACAAACACATAAATAAATGAATAAACTCTGATGAATTATCGCATCTATTATTCAACAATGAGTACGTAAAAAAAATTTTTTATTAATGGGAAGTTCATTCTGAGAGCTTCATAGAAACAGTATGAAAGTTTAATCATGCTGTATCCGATAAAATTGTAAATTTGGGGGAGAAATATCTTTCATACGTGATTTGAAAATAAAAGGTTGTCTCAAATATTGGAATATACAATGCACTTCGCGTTCGATAAAAGTAATGGAGACACGTGGGACTATTCACGTGGAACTGTTGCAAATTGAAAGTTATCGCGTGTTAATTTGGCTTCCAAAGTGTATGTCATGGAATTAGATAGGTTTTATTGATGCAATAGAAGATCATGGGTAGTTATGCATTTTTGTGAAGGGCATTCCGCCGGTTGTTTTATCTCCCGAGTAACTGAGAATATTTATGATGATTGTGTATCCACTTCATTATGTACAAAAGCATTAGATTGATTAAGGAAATGAAACCAAATTCATTTTTAATAGGTAGATAAGGACTTTAGATTTCGCTGATGGAATCTTTGAATTGGACGTGTCATTGGTTTTGCTGCACATGATAATTCAGTAGATTCGATCATTGGAATTTTCATACGTGAATTTTTTTCAAGAGTGGCCAAAAATAACGGGAGTTATTGCTAGTTTTCCTCTTGGTATTGATGAAATTACACTTCTTTCAATTTACGTTCCAAAGGAAGAGGGGCTTTTATCCTCGGGAATATGTCGTCGCCGTATAGCCCGTTGGCTCTGTGACGACGATGTGATGGCAATATCTAGAGTTTTCCACAATTGATTCATTGAAATCATAAAAATACCCCATTGACGTTACAAAATTACGATATACTTGCATAACTACTGAAGTAACTCTTATTGATTTTCAAATGGAAATCGAATGCTGAAAGATATCAGATCTGACTAATTTTCCGAAAAATAGATGATGATTGATATTGTTTCCATCTGAGTGGGCAGTTCTTCAGGATTCGATGAATCTTTTGAAGGTGGCCAAAGCTAATGAGAGCTATCTCAGAAGGATCTATTGCTAGTTTTCTCGGACGATTCCAAATTCGTGAAATTGAATTTCCTCTGATTCATGTTTCAATGTTTACCGTTTTTATTTCATTGACGAAATCGAGGAATTATTGAAGAGTTGTTTTCATCCTTTGGAATATATATTGGCAATATCTAGATTTTTTTCGAATTGAGTGATTAAAATCGTCAAAAATTCCCGATTGCCAGTTTTCTCATGTTTCCAAATTCGTGAAATCAAATTTCCTTATTCATGTTTCAATGTTTACATTTGTATTTAATTGACGAAATCGAAGAATTATTGAAGAATTGTTTTCATCCTTTGGAATATATATTGGCAATATCTAGATTTTTTTCGAATTGAATGATTAAAATCGTCAAAAATTCCCAATTGCCAGTTTTCTCATGTTTCCAAATTTGTGAAATTAAATTTCTTCTGATTCATGTTTCAATGTTTACATTTGTATTTAATTGATGAAATCAAGGAATTATTGAAGAATTGTTTTCATCTTCTGAGATCTATATTGGCAATATCTAGATTTTTTTCTAATTGAATCATTAAAATCGTCGAAAATTCCCGATTGAATTTTCAAAATGATGAAAAATTATCATAACATTTGAAACAGCTCTATTGCCCTTCACCCGGAAATCATATGCTGCATATATCTTCGGTGAATTCATTTTCATATCCTATCGTCCTATCATAAAAAGGAGAAATGAAATCGATCTCGAAATATCTCAAAAATCTCGAATAAGCGTAAGCGTAAGACAGAAACCGGAGCGTCACTACCAGAGGAGTTGAGAAGGCGCGTGCCGGTCTCGTATTGTAAATAAACTAGATATGATTAATTCACCGAAGAATATCTGTTATAATTGCAAATATTCTTTTCGTTTGAGTGGGCAGTTATTCAAGATTCACTGAATCATGTTCAAAGGTCACGAAAAAAGGAGAATTATTACAGAAGTATTCATCGCAGTTTTCTCAATTAATTTTAAATTCATGAAATGAAATTTCCCCTGATTTGATTCAATTTTGAATGTTCACATTTGTATTCGATTGAAAAAATTGTGGAACTATTGAGGAGTTTCAATCGGTGCTTTAATTCCCTGAAATATTTGCTTGGAAAATCTAGAGTTTCCCCAGTTGATTCATTGAAATCATCAAAAAATCCTCTGACTCGACAAAATTACGAAATATTTTCATAACTATTAAACATTGGAACAACTATTATTGTCCTTCACACGGAAATCACATGCTGCATATATTCTCCGGTAAAATGCATATATTGTAAATATACCAGATATCATGAATTTTCCGAGAAATATATGAAGATTGTAGATATTCTTCCCGTTTGAGCGGACAGTTCTCCACGATGCGATGAAATTTTATTTTTATAAGTATAAATAAAAACGGAAAGAAGGAAATCAAATGACATTCCCCCTCACTACGCCGTAATGGCCTGAAAACCATAACTATCTCAATGTAATATGTGTATCGTCTATCGATGAGTAATTGATAATTAATATGAATGTAATGTAAATGTTATTTTTCGTATGAGACGTTTCATGTCGACAACCAAGAGGTATCAATCAGGGGTCGTATTGCCATGAATATTTTTAAGAAACTGGACGTTTAATCCAGAATTAGGGAGCGTTTAAATTGATATGGAATGTCTCGTATAAGGAAGGGTGAGCGGGGCAAAATGAATTGTCTTTAATCGTCGATTCACGATTTTTCCATCATTTTCAAGGCTTTTTTTAAGAGGCAATGGAACTTACCATCTGAGTAGAAACTGGATTCCAAGTTTTTTCGTCGTCAGATTACTATTTAGCAAAACCCAAATTCTTACATCACCAATAATCGTGGTATCTATAGCGTACGAATTTGGATTTTACTAAATAGTCGTCTGACGACGAATAAACTTGACATCCAGTTTCTACTCCGATGGTAAGATCTGGCCTCTTAAGTCCAGGATGGGAAAATTATAATGGCATACTTCAACACCGATACAGCATTTTCTTGACAAAATGATGTATTACACGCAATAGAATCCCCATTTTTTTATGCATTCGATGGTTTGCATTGAGTACTTGTCTACAGAAATTGTGATCCTCATATTCTGATTAAACGATATTGAATAAAGTGGTATAAACATAAGTTAAATTTTGAAGATTAAACAAAAGATCAACCCAATTACAATTTACATATTGAAGTATGCCAATATAATCAAAATGTAGCTGCTTTCAAACGTATGAAAAAATCGTATAGAAATTTTCTATACGGATTACGTATAGAAATTCTATAGGATTTCCGTATATGATATTCGGATATTTCTACAAGAATTATTTCGATACATAAATTTTTACATAAATGTTTGTTTTCATACGACAGATGTCTAAACGCTACATAAATCCTACGAAAATCCTACAGGAATTCTATACGCAATCCGTATAGAAAATTTCTATACGATTTTTTCGTACGTGCACCTGCTCTTTTTGAATAGAAAAAAAATACTATTCTGTTGAGAGTTTTTTTCCAGAAAGAATAGAAGAAAAACATGAAAAATTCATGCAGAGGAATTTTTCTGGCAAAAAGTGTGACGAATAAAGGTCTCACTGAAAAATCGAAAAATTGAAGAAACTGAAATTGACAGAATTTTCAAAAGAAATCTGTAAAAAACTATAGAACTCCACGCGCATATTATTTGGTCATCAAAGATTAAGAACGATCCGTTCGGCCCCACCCTCATCTGCATCCTCAACTCTAAGACTATAAAACCCACAAAAATACCAGAATAATATAAACAGAACAATCACGAGAATCTATAGTTATGTATAGATATAACCGTATAAATTCACATACGTTATATATTTAATGTTACTACATATAATAATAATATTCTACTAGTACACTGTTGTCTGTTGTACGTTTATCAGGCACACAAGCCCAGAAAATATTAAATCAGATATTATGTATATTGCAAAAATTCTAATTTCATATTCATCGTTGTACATATTTGAACGTAACTTTCATTTAGCAAATATATGATAAGTATTACCTGAAAAACCGATGTCATAGCACAGAATTTATTTTCACGGTGTGGAAGACAGTTTTTTATTTATTGAAAATTCAATTGCCCGATGCAGGAGGAGGCGCAGTCTTGGTTTGAGGGATCCTTTCCCTTTGTCGAAATGTTTTCGTCAGATTTGCATGTTCATATTCTTGGAATCGATGCTTCCGGTTCTGCACGGAAGCATTATCGTTGAAATTTGTTATCAAATTTTTGTGGTACGAGAAGTAAATGGGGCCTAAAATTTCTGCCTAAAATTTCTTCTCGTAAGACTCTTGTGTATTCAGCTGAGAAACATTTTTTTCTGTAATTTTTCTCTAAGGAATCTATCGAATTCCATTCATTTTTTTCAGAATACAATTGCAATTACTTTGGTCCCACGACGTAACAGTTGTTTTACTTCAGAAATATTTTACCAAAATAACATCAAATGATATTTAGTATTTCTGTTTTTCAGAAGTATTTGAAGTATTTTAAGAGTAAGAAAAAAATCTACCTCTATTTTTTTTTATTAATTATGAAGATTTTCTGTTTTATTTTAATCTTTGTATTTTCTCTTCTAGTTTTGGACCGTTGACGGTGGGAGGCGGAAGGATTGTCTAAAATTTTAAGATGAATTACTTCCAATCTGTCCCTCTTTCATCCCATTTCTCAAATGTTCCTCCAAATTGTGAAATTGGAGAAATAGAAAAGATATCGATCGAAATTCTTGCATTATCCTGTGACTTCGAGCGAAATTGTTCCATTGCACGATCTTACTTCATCATTAGTGTAGTAATAATAAAATATAAATATTGTATTTGTCATATTTCATTCTTATTTCAAAGGTCGTTGGATTTTTTCAAAGGCATTGCGACAATGGCTAAACTCAATTATAAACAATGCAATGATCCACTTGTTTGCAGTCAAATGAGTGTTAATCACACCAATAATTTTAGCTGATAATGCATCCATCGTGATATGCAAGCTTTTTTTTATTCCACAGATACATGAATTGAAAAAAATAGGATACAAATTGCCATAAATTCACACAATCAAAGCAAGTATTTCAGTCGAGCATTTCGCAACTTTTCCATGTGGATCGTGCATAGATTTGCTCTGTGCCATTGTTTGTAGACTATTAACTGTAGAGTCGGAACTTTTAACCGCATGAATCAGTTGTCTCTGATTATTACTATGAGAAGTACCAGCTATCAAGGTACCAAGTGCAACCAGCGCACGGAAAATTGCTTCAATTTCTTTGAATTTCGGCAGTATTGTCATTATCACACTGAGGGCTCGGATTTTTCTCTGCACATCGTCTCGTTTATTCAATGCAATGCTCAAATTTAGGATGTACGTTGATATAGCGACCTGTAATAAATAAAAAGAGAAAATTTTTAATGTGAAATCAATGACATTCTCGCCTATTTAATTATTGTTCATTAAATGATAGGGGCAATTGACTGTTGGAAAAAATTGAAATTTCATGGATAGTTTAGAATTCGATTTAGGCAGGAAAAAAATCATGAAATTTCGAATTTCAGTGAAAATTCTATAGAATTCAAAATTTTTTAGCAGCAGGGGACAAAAATTCCTCCACGCACTTGAATTTTGTATCAAAACATCAATATACAGCACCGAATTTCCATCAATTTCCAATAAATGAACTGAAATTCACAGTTTTAATTGATTTTTCATCAAATTGTGAATTTTAAATGACGAAATGGCTCGAAATTTCAGTGGAACTGGCACGTCATAAAAAATTTCAAGAAGTGTTTCGAAAATTTCAGCAAAGGATTTGAACAGTTCAACATTTGTAACGTTTAATTCACAAAATTACTATTTCGAGAAACTCCGATTTCCAATTTATGAAATATAGTAAGTACAATAGTATGTATATAATTGACTAAAAAAAAATACCATTTGGAAGAGCTAAAGTAAATTTCCTGAATTTACTTATCATTGATTTCTGACATAACACTTTAAAAAAAATTATATTTATTTCGCAAATTGAAATTCTGTAAAGTTAAAGTTCTATCTGTTAAAGTTCTTTTCGTCGAATTTATTTCGCATGATAATCTTTTATATGAATAAGCCTCCTGCTTGCCAATCCCCATATGACCCCCATGATACTTCTTCTGACCCTTGTGACACTTAATCTGATCTTTGCGACCCTTAATTTGATCCTTGTGACCCTTATTCAGACCTTTGTTACCCTTATTTGGACGCTTAATCTGAGCCTTGTGACCTTGATTTAAACCTTTATTCTGACCCTTATAACCCTTATTTTGTCTCTCATGGCCCTTATTTTGACCCTTGTGAGCCTTATTTTGACCCTCGTAACCCTTAATTTTGGAGTGTGAATTTCAAGTACCAAATTTTCTAATAAATGAACTGAAATTCACAGTTTTAATTGATTTTTCATCAAATTCCTGGTTTCAACCAGGAAATTACCTGGTTATTTTTACTACCAAACGATGCTAAGTTGACGAGTAGATTCAGGAAATCATCACTGTAATTGAGACCAAACTGCTCGCCAGCCTCCTGGGTGAACATATTAGCTAGTAATCTGAAGGTGAGCATTTGATTCGCTGCGACAGCCTCAGAAGACGTGTGACGATGAACTATTGGAAACAATGTCTCTGAGCATATGTGTCGATTGGAGTATGGATGGAGGACAGCTAGTCGAGCAACATCGAGGGCTGGGAAGGAGAACTCTGGAGGCCAATCCCCGAGGATTTTCCATAAGGCAGTTATTCCCTCTGTGCTCTCGTCAGAAGAGTCTTTGTTTATCAAATTCACTACAGTTTGCAACGTCTCCTCTGGCAGTTTATCTGTATTTACAATTTTCGAATTGAATTCTTTCAGTTTATCGAGGATAGCAGCAGCATTCGCCTGTTCTAGCTTTAAATAACTTCGATGGGGGATGTAGACTGATGCAGAGGGGGGCGCATCTGGCAGTGAGGATGAGGATGCTGTGATACCAGTGAAGGGGTCTGGGTTGGGAACTGATGCCGTTGGCTGGGGGGTATTGGGCAGTCCTGAGCCTGGGATGTAACGACTACCACCGGTGAAGGGGTCGGCGTAGCTGGAGGAAGGCTGGAGGGCTGGAGTGCTGTCCGAATTTTTCACGATGAAATTGGCAACCTGGAAGCATCATTAGGTTGAGAATTCCGTAGTGAAGTGGTAAACTAGGATAAGTGCAATTTTTTATGTGGATACGTCTATGGTTTCATTATGGGGGGTCATTTTGGAAAACGGTCCTTATGTGCAGCGCCATTTATTGGACGTCTAGAAAATTTTAGACATTTCGAGGTAATTTGAGAAGTTTCTTGAAATTTCGAAAAAATTCAAGGAGTTTCTAGATATTTCGAGGAAATTCAGGGAGTTTCTATAAAATTCGTGAGAATTCAAGGAGTTTCCAAGAAATTCGAGAGCATTCAGGGAGTTTCTAGGAAATTAGAGGGAATGCAAGGAGTTTCTAGGAAATTACTGAGAATTCAAGAAGTTTCTAGGAAATTCGGGAGAATTCAAGGAGTTTCTAGGAAATTAGAGGGAATGCAAGGAGTTTTTAGGAAATTCGAGAGAATTCAAGGAGTTTTTAAGAAATTAGAAGGAATGCAAGGAGTTTCTAGAAAATTCGAGACAATTCAAGTAGTTTCTAGGAAATTCGAGGGAATGCAAGGAGTTTCTAGGAAATTAGAAGGAATGCAAGAAGTTTATAGGAAATTCGAGAGAATTCAAGTAGTTTCTCGAAAATTCGAGAGAATCCAAGGAGTTTCTAGGAAATTCGGGAGAATTCAAGAAGTTTCTAGCAAATTCGAGAGAATTCAAGAAGTTTCTAGGAAATTCGAGAGAATTCAAGGAGTTTTTAGGAAATTAGAAGGAATGCAAGGAGTTTCTAGAAAATTCGAGAGAATTCAAGTAGTTTCTAGGAAATTCGAGGGACTGCAAGGAGTTTCTAGGAAATCAGAGGGAATGCAAGAAGTTTCTAGGAAATTAGAGGGAATGCAAGGAGTTTCTAGGAAATTACAGAGAATTCAAGAAGTTTCTAGGAAATTCGAAAGGATTCAAGGAGTTTCTAGGAAATTGGAGGGAATGCAAGGAGTTTCTAGGAAATTAGAGGGAATGCAAGAAGTTTCTAGGAAATTCGAGAGAATTCAAGAAGTTTCTAGGAAATTCGGGAGAATTCAAGAAGTTTCTAGGAAATTCGAGAGAATTCAAGAAGTTTCTAGGAAATTCGAGAGAATTCAAGGAGTTTCTAGAAAATTCGAGAGAATTCAGAGAGTTTCTAGGAAATTAGAGGGAATGCAAGGAGTTTCTAGGAAATTTGAGAAAGAAGGAAAGACCATGGACGTATCCACGTACAATTACTGCTGTATCAAAGATACAGCCGCCTGCAATTTTTTGGAGAACTTTCTATTGCTTGATTCGAAAGTTCTCTCAAACGTGGTCAAATTTTTTAACCCTCCTGAAAAAGTTTTATTTTTGCACTTATCCTAGTCTACCACTTTGCTACAAAATTAGCGATGGAATGAATTTAGGATATCCGAGTCTTTTACAGTTTGGTACACTGAGAGAAACATATCGTAGTTTCTACGGAATATGTTATTGAATGCATGTTCCTTCGTATCAAAATAGAATTTCATTGTTTTAATGTTCTAATTCTTCATTTGAAGGGTGGATTCCCTAGGGAGCGCAGATAACAGAATATTCCTCCAAAAATGAGGCATTATTTATTTAAAATATGTTATTGAATACGATTGCGTTGATGTCATCTACAATAAGTTTTCAGATCGACGGAACGTGATACATTCAAATAACATAGAATTTAACCTCAGAGGAGAATATTCATGAATAGAAGAACCGAAATCTATGTAGTTTTTTCTATCCCATGTTCTCTATGAAGTTCTCAAAAAAATATTTGCACTAATGAATGTTGAGGGACAAGTCGAGCCAAATGGGCACATTTGGCTTCTTTGAGTATTCTCAACTCAGCCGCAAATTCATCAACAGAATTCAGTCGAGACTGATCGCAAAGGCGCAGAATATATTCCATAAAAAAAATTCCATTCAGCTAAAAACTGGAAGAGTTCTAAACACTTCAAAAGTCAAAAGCCCTTTGTCCACTTGCCTCGCTTGCTCTCAATCAATACCTGATCTAAAAACATCTGGCTCAGTCCATGCTGATGTATAAACTTCTGAGCAGCTTGCCACGGATCCTCAGTCTTATTATACGGCAGCTTGAGAGGTGGAACGCCATCCTGAATATCCACAGAGAACACATAATCGTACTCCACCCCATTGTACGTCGTCTTCGAGGAGTTTCCCCCCGCAGCCCCGATGACCTCGCCGATCCTGACCCACGTCTGCTGACTGGCGGACCAGCTGTACGCCACTCCCTTGCCCTCCTCCTTGATCATCAGAGTCTGGCCGTCCTTTTTCCCAGGAACAGTGAGTGCTGCAGCATCCGGCAGCTCATTGATCTTGATCTGATCGTTCAGCGCCAGCTTGGACTGCGCCTGGTCCTCGGCGACAATTTTCTCCCAGGACTCAAGCACCTCAGGACTGGCGTGACGATCAGGATCAGCTGAGAATACCCTCACGTGTCCGTCGGAGGAGCCGGCAGCAATGTCACCATTCGACAGGATCTTGACGCACCAGACTGAGGTGGCAGGAACGACAATTGTCTGGCAATTCTCGCCATTCTTCCAGACCCTCACACTCCTGTCTTCTCCGCCTGTTGCCACCATGGCTCCACTTGGAAGAGCGGATATCGCGTAGACGAAATTCTCGTGACCGCAGTACGTCCCAAGACACTCACCACTCAGCGCACTCCAGTGTCTGACGGTCGTGTCGTTGGCACAGGTCAGGAACTCGTCGTCTTTGACGACAGCAATGTCACGGACACAGTCTGTGTGACCCTCGAGCTTGTGGAGGGCCGTACCATCTCGGGACCAAACGATCACCAGTTTGTCAGCTGATCCTGTGACGATCAAACCACTTTTAAGATCCGCCACGCACCAGACGCTCAGGGAGTGCCCGTGGAGGATCAGCCTCGGCTCCTCGGGGTTGTCCAGGCCCCAGAGCTTGGCGCTGAGGTCCCAGGAACTCGAGAGGTACGTGCCATCTTCGTGGCCTGTGCGCAAATTACAGACTGTGTCCTCGTGGGCGGTTATCGTTTGGGTTGGGCTGTCGTCACCGAGGACGTAGATTCGGATGCGTTTGTCGTTGCTGCCTGTTATTATCAGGCTGCGGGGGTTCTTTGGGGAGGGGTGCAGGACGCATACTGAACTCACGAAGTTTTTGTGGCCTTTTAGGATTTCTGTTGTTGTGTACTCGCGACCGTCTCTGGGAAGAGAATTCAGAGGGTGGGGGACCGTTAGCGATTTTTTTTATTAAAATGTTTGATAAACGAACTTGGATGTCCCAGTTATTGATACTGGGACAATTTTTGGGTTCCGGAGTAATAGGGAACTTGCGTGATTTTTTTCTATTTTTTAATCTCATCTTTCCATTTCTTCAATTTTCCCAGTAGTTTTCTCCAGGAATTTTCAGGTGGATACGTCTTTAATTTCGTGTTGGAGGTCATTCGCGGAGCTATCCTTATAACGGCCAGCGCGATTTGGCGAAATTTTAGAAAAATCTAGATTTCTCTAGAAAATTCGAGAAAATTCTTCGATTTTGTAGAAAATTCGAGAATTTTCGCCGGTGTTACCGAAAAGTCACGAAAATTCTTCAGTTCTACAGAAAATTTGGAAAACTGTGAGATTTTCTAAAACATTCGGAGGTTTTTTTGAAAAAGTCCATTTGGATCAATCGATACAATTTAAAAAAAATACAAAAAGCTGCAACTTTTATACAACAACTGGGCTTAAAGGGTAACAGAATGCCGATAATTTTCCAAATTTTTGAACAAATTGTCTGCTGAAAGTTATCAATATTTTTACAAATCAAAACACATTAATCTCCAAGAGGCGATGATGAAGATCAATGTGCTTTGGGTTAAAAAAATATTAATAACTGTTCACATGAATTTCATACTTTTTCTTGCCAACGTGTGGACTAAAAAGATTTGAAATAAAATAGTTTTGCCGAAAGATATTTATAACTCGTAATATTTTTTATAATTCAAAAACAGAGGTGCCATCACCACCAAATAATTACTGAAAACTGTTATATCTCCCGCAAAAATTGACCGATTTTCAAAAATCAAAATTAATTTTATTCGCTAGATTCCTAGGAATATTGCTTGCTCGGAACATTTTTTGATATTCGTCAAAATGATTGTGTGGAACGCATTTAAATAATTAAATTGTTAATAACTATTAACTGCAATATTGTATTGCGGTCTAAGTTACAGATTTCGTTTCAGCACATCGAAAAACATAAAACACACAAGGTTCAACTGTTCAGATGAATTTCATACTTTTTCCTGCCAACGTGTGGACTAAAAACACTTGAAACAAAAAAGTTTTGTCGAAAGATAATCATAACTCGAATTATAAAAAATGATACGAGTTATGATGAAAATATTCTATGCATTCGTTTGGCTCAGAAGACTCTATGGATGCATAGGTGACCAATTGTTAAAAACTGTTATATCTTCCGCAAAAATTGACCGATTTTCGAAAATCAAAATGCGTTTTGTTCGTTAGATTCCACCAAATATTGTATGTTTGAAACATTTTTCGATATCTATCAAAATGGTCGTGTAAAACGCGTTAAAATGTAATTAAATTGACTAATTATTGACTGCATCACTGTATTGCGGGCTAAGTAACACATTTCGTTTCAAAAAATCGAAAAACATAAAATACGCAAGTTTCAACTGTTCCCATGAATTTCATAGTTATCCCTGTCAGCGTGTGACCAACTCTTCAGGATGTCCGCAGGAGCATCGCCTGGACTGAACTATATTAACCCGTGTAGTGACCTGCTCGTGTCGACACGATTAACCACTGATTAACCGAGATTAAATCAAACCGAAAACAGGCCCTGAATGGAAGAATGAAAAAAATGAGTCAAGAACTTACCGGCTTGGTCTCCACACACGTGCGGTCTTGTCACGCGATGCTGACACCAATGTCCCATCTTCAAAAAATGCGATAGCCCGGACATCCCCAGTGTGCCCGACCAATGTACAATTCAACTTGTAATCAGCTGAATCCATTTTCCCTCGTGAATTATTGTACTGATGGCTAGAATTATGCAAGTCACCTACTAATAAACATTACCATAACCAAACAATCGAGCCGCGAGGGTGCATCAGTGGAAGTTCATACTGAATAATTGACACTTCCTACTGAAAAGAACACTAAGAACTGGTCCAGATGCTGCCGAGGGGTTCGAGAACAGAAGTGAACGTGAGTGTTTTGAAAAAAATTGTATTGTTTGTTGAATGCACTGTCCCTATGAGATCAGTGATTGAATGGAGTTGATTGAATGCACACAAGGACGCGAAGGCGAGAACTGACGAATTTCGGAATGGGAATTCCAAGCGGTGATTGGTCGCTGAGAAAATTCCACGGGGTAGGACCAGATTTCCATTATCTGAACAAAGATAAGTCGATTATATTCCGAAGTATCTAGAATGCGATCTGCAGCATCTGTAGTAAACACGACTCGACATGGGCGATGTTTTAAATATCGATTATCGAAGAATCGATAATGGAGAGAAGACGGGAGAAAAACAAATTATTAAAAATGATTTTTCATCACGCTGTGACGAAAAGTGAACTTTTCGGCACGCTCCGCGTGCCTAAAAGTCCAATTTCCGCCACATTGTGATGAAAAATATTGTTCGTAACTCGTGAAAAAATGTTTTTTAGCTCGTGGGATTATATCACTCGCCTTCGGCTCGTGATGATATAAACCTCCCACTCGCCAAAAAACACTTTTTTGTACTCGTTACGAAATATACTATTTTCTTCTCGTTTTAATTGAAAAATATTATATTTAAAAAATTAAACCCGAGGAACATAGGTTTTAATGTTAAGTACTGCTGGATGCTGGAAAGTTAAATTTTGAATATCACAACAGGGTTATTGATTAATTGAAAAAAATATATTGAATATTTCCTGTGGCTGGACATTTTAGCTGCAATAATTGTTGAAAATTTAAATTAAAGAAAACAATAGACGACTGGACTTGTGCACTTATCATTTATGAGTACATACTGTAGAAAATAATTACTTCTGATTGCGGATAAATTATTATTTTGTTTATTCTCACTCGATGAACATTATTATTCGATAAAAAAAGGAAAAGTTTTGTTAGTTTGGTCAGAAACATCGATGTTTGGAAAAAGAACGAAAATCGATCAATCGGCCGTTGAAAACATCGATGTTTTCGATTAATCGACAAACATCGCCAATCCCCAGGTGTAATAGATAGTTTTGACGAGAAAATGTTCGAATTCTAATTTTTTTTCCCAAGATTTTCCATCATAAATTCAATTTTAACAACAGGTCTATAATTACAACCACAGAAGAAAGAATTCAATATTTTCATTCTATTTATTCGCATGTCACTATAAAAAAGAGTATAAAAGGCATAAAAACGTATTCTTCAATTCACTCGTTACCGCCACTGCCGAATAGAAAAATAACATTATGTAGCAGTCTCTTCAGTACTACCTAAATTCGCCGAAGTATCTATGAAAATTTTTATTATTTCATCAGTCCAGCACATATGAAAGTGAAATCATTCAGGATGTTAATTGTGCTCGTATTTAACTCGTAAAATAAGTGATGTCATTCGTATCTTCGCATGGGGCTGAATATCACAATTTCCTCCTCGTTGGCTCCATCAGAATAGAGTAATAATAATGACTAAAATCATAGCAGTACGGCCAACCATTTCTTCTCGTCAATCTCACAGAATTGCACATATTATTCACCCCAAAATAATCTTTACACATTTTCTCGTGTTATCATTCGGTGTTCATTCATCTACTGGTGAATCGTACTGACTCAATCCCGACATTTGCACGAAATTATTTCAGGGGAAAATAAAATTCAAAGATAATCAAAAGCCACTTTTTGACATTTTTCCCGGAAATCATTAATTCTTGAGATAATTCCTTATTTATAAATTGATTGACGATGGAATATTTCCACGACCCTTTTTGTCATTGATTAATTGTTCAATTATGTCGGTAATGCGTGATTCCAAGAAAAAATCTAAAAAGGTATTTTTATGCTAACAAAGTTTCCAACAAAAAATGTCTTCTGGCATTTTTCTCTAAAATCATTCATTCTCAGAATAATTCGACATTTCATAAGATATGAAGACATTGTTTACCACTTCACTCTCTTCAAAATTCCCCTCACACACAGGTATTTGAGCAATTATGTTCCCCTCTCCTCAATTATTTCGAAGATGGTCTATTCATCAAAGATGGGATTCGTCGAGGGAACCACTTCAAGAGAAAATGTCAAAGATCATTGTATAGCTGAATGTTCTTCAACATTCACTCTTGAACCCATTCATTCTCAAGATAATCAATTTATTCCATTCCGTAACGTTTTACCACTTCACTTTCTTCAAAAATCCCCACACACACAACTATTTGAGCAATTATATTTCCCTCCCCTCAATTATTTCTCTGTCGACCGTACTTTGAGGGAGTAGAACTGTACATATTCTCAATGTTCTCCTGCCAATTGGTGGACTTCACCTCATCAATCTCGCTGATAGCAGTGATCCTCTCACTCCAATTGTTTTGTTTTTTCAACGGAGTAATACTGCGATTGTCAGAGGTGTTATTCATGCTGTAGGTCTGATACCCAGTGTCCTGAGCAAAGTTGAAGGCACTGCTCTGCTCCGAGTAATTAGACCTTATGAGAGTGTTCCCATGCTTCTGTCCACCGAGGCTCTCGCTGGAGGTGTTCCTGTACCAGTCGACAGTCTCTTTCACTCTGTCGATCTTACTCACTTCGATCGTGATGGGAATCGCTGGGTTGAAGGGGGTCGACTCCTGGAGGAGTGACACCATCTCAATCGTGTCGTTTTTGTTGACCTGATCCTCTGGCCTCTTCGACTCCAGGCTCTCCTCGAAGATGGTCTCTGGGTGGGTTGACGTCGGGGTCTGCTGGGCGTCCTTCTCCTCGGATGAAGAGACATCTATACTCATGAATGTCGTGAAGTCCAGACGAGCCACAGAACGACGTCGAGACTGAATACTCTGGCATGACATGTCCAGCGTGGGATTGCAGATTGGAGACATGTTCAGGGGGGAGAGATTCTTGGAGTTTGTGTAGGGGGTGCCGTGGTTTCGCTGCATGCTGTAGGGACGTCCTCGGAGGGGGGTCCCATGCACGAACATTCCACTCTGGGGTGGGCTCGAGGTGCTCTTCAGGGGGGAGAGGACGAAGGGTCCGTCGTCCTCGTCCTCGCTGGACTCGTCGTGGGTGAAGAAGAGCTTTCGACGGAGGGAGTTGTTGCTGGAGTTTGCGTCGTCGGTATCGGGAGGTGTGCTTTGGTCTTGGGTGAAGGTGAAGTAGGGCTTCAGGGCCTCTTCGAGGTCCTTGGGGAGAACTGGGGGGAGGGTTAATACTGTCTGGGTTGCGCCTGGAAGGGGAGAAAATTATTGGAATTATTTGTTGGGGAACTGCGGTGTTAGAAGACAATTGGAATTTTGGGGACAGGTGACTAGTAATTTTTAGGAATTACATTAAATTCCATTTAGAGGGGAAAATTATGGAATTTCACGTTTTTATGAAAATTTAGTGACATTGGCGAACAGCAGGAAGACGAGAATTCAATAATTCAAGTGAATTTTCAATGGAAACATGAATATTCAGTACTAAATCGCACTGAATTTTTGGAAATTAGGCATTTGCAATGATGGAATTCTGCGAAATTACAGTGGAACTATAATATGATGAAAATTTGCAAGAAGTGCACTGAAAAGTTTAGCAAAGTTCAGCGAAATATTTTCTTCAAATAAATGAAAATATCACTTGTTTTCAGGATCTTCTGCTCATTTTATTTCGGTACGATAAGTTCTGAAATGCAGGAATTTTTTTGCTGCAAAAATAGAAACTTTTTTTCTCTGTGTAGATGGATTTGATGAATGAAATCAGGTGGTTTAAGGATATCCAAGTACTTCGACTTTTTTCATTTTGTTTTAATACTTTTCGAAATTTGTTGTTAAACTTCAGAGCGTCCATTGAAGTCAGAACTTAATTCTCTGTTTTGAATAAAGATTCAAAGATTCATAAAATAAAAAAAACTACATTCCTTCAAGATTAATTGGTAATCAATCAATTTCCTGCCCTAGAAATCATTATTCCAAATGATCAAGTTGTACGAAAAGTGAGATTTTTGGGAATTCGACTAAATTCCGATAAAAATTATTCAATTCTTTTTCAACATTTTGTGTCCTGTGAATTTACAGGAAGGAAATTTTTGAAACAAACTAATATATCTGTTGCGAAATGTAATTGGCATAATCATTATACATAATTGACATTTTTCAAAAATGAAAAAAAATCGACGTTATCCTTCACAACTGAATTAGTTGTTCGGACACTTACAGTCTTTCATGCCGATTGGAGATACTCTACTGGTACCCAAGGCCTCCACTGGTCTAGTCGTTGGAGTCATCACCATTAGGGGTTGAGTCTCCTTCCTCAAATTCCAGGGGCTCGGGTGTATTTGTGGTTCACTGAAGAACTTGTCGATGGCTTTTTGCGCGTGGATTTCCACCTCAGGATCTGTGCAGTGGTTCTGCTGCACAGGGAATTCATCGATCATTGCTGGGGTCATGATTGCCAGCTCGTCAATGGTCCAGGCGAATGCTGGGGAGCCTTGCATCTTGGGGGAAACCTGCAATTGAACAATTCTTCATAATTCTTTACAATTCTTCTTTTCGTGGAAGTATTCCACATGGCAGACCTGGAGACTTTGAAACCTAGGGAAATTGAGAATTCTCCTCAAATATAAAAAAATTCAGTAGCGAAGCGGTAAAGCGATTTAAGTCGACTGAGCTCTCAATTGAGTTTTCGAGGAATACCTTCGAATCTAAGGAAGATAGCGAATTTTTCGTAATGTTCTTTTTTGTAGAGCGAATTCAAGGCCAGAAAAATCGTTATGAGCAAAATTTCTCCTTTAGATTCCGAGATATTAATTGGAGGAAAATTGACGAACTAATTAAAAAATTTTTTTTTTGAAAATTGCGAGTATTTTCTAAGAATGATTTATAAACAATCAATTTTCTACCATAAAAATTATTTGCTCGGAATCGTAACAAATTTATTCATATTCAGAATTTCACTAGCAGTTTGAACAATTTCAATTATTTATTTATAAACAATGAATGTTAAAAAAAATAATAATTCTGGGCAAAATGTAATTTTATTGACACTGAATATTCATGATTAAAAAAAAAATTTTATCACACATTTTAATTGCCAAATTTGATGATAAAAATGGTTGCAACTGTAGTGGGGTCTTTACCAAACTGAAAAAGGTACTTGGATATCCTTAAAGTAATCTCTACATAATTTAAGTTTTGAAGATGAAAATCTGAAATAAATTCTGAACGGAAGTTAACATAAATAAAAACATTTGGTTGAGTTCGTCCTCAATTGGCAGTCTAGTATTATTGATAATAATTAATTTAGAAGTGCCAAAATAACGTAGCCTTATGAGAAAACGAAAACTTCGAGGTTAGAGAGAAGATTAAAATGCAGAAAAAATTCTTAAAAAATCTGAAAAAAATAAATACAAAATTTTATGCCCAATACGAAAATTATGGTCAATATCAAACTTTTGTGATAAGTAATTTCTGTATCTGCGTACCCTGAATGTACAGGATGCCCCAGTCAAACGAGCAACTATTGTTTAAGAAAATAATTGTCGAGAGAATTTAACGGATTAACCCTTACGTAGGGGATCGATGCAATGCATCGACCCATGAAACTATGAATGACTCTCTTTAAAATTGATTATTTCCAAAACTATTGAATTGAACTCAACCAAATAAATAACACCGAAAAGGGAATACTCTAGCTTCAATTACACATCGTTTTCATAATTTTCCCTTAAGGAGAAACGGAACCCCTGCGTTTATATGAATCTTTAGAATTGTGTTTTCTCCTGCAATTATTATTTTTTATTCATTAAACTACTTCATTGACTCAACAATACGATAATCGAGTCGATAAAGTAATTTCATAGATAGAAATTAATAATTGTAGGAGAAAACACAATTCTAAGATTTGATGTAGACAAAGGGGTTCCGTCTCCCCTTAATGAGAAGTAATTAAATTTACTTGTATCGAGCGTACTCCACGCTTGGAACCAGAAGGGCCCCGTCCGTGGGTTAACTTTCACTCTCGTCAAAGCCAGCATTCATATAAAAAATTTACAACGCTAAAAATTTTTTTCGGGCATTTAAAATTTATTTTCCTCCTACACTCAACGACTTTCGTGGAGTTTGGCTGCACTACCTTAAACCGTCTTACCGTTTCCCTACTGGAGATTAAAAAAATCTCAAAATCTTGATCTGAAGTGAGTGAAAATCCTGAAAATACCTTGCTGAATATCGTCGGACTGATGACGGACAGATGCAAGCGATTCGTGAGATCTGCATCGAAGGGATTCCTGGCCATGAACCTGGTGATCCCCGAGGGTGGAGTCATGTGGTTGGGGATGAGGGTAAAGCCTGTGGCTGTCGCGTGGTACGTGGTGTGCCTGTCCTTTCCAACATCCTGTCTGCTGGGGGTCTTGTGGGGACTCCTGGGGGACGCGGGTGCATGCTCCTCCACGGTCTTACAGGGTGTCAACTGCATTCGCTCCATTCTCACCTCCACCACTCACGAAATCACCACTTATCACAATTTCGAATAAATATCAACTAATACTGGAGTCTGTGCAGATAATTTGGCTAGTAATGTACAGCATTCATCAACTAGAATTCATTTACGCTTGTGATAGATTAGTTTTACTGAAAAGTCGAGAGTTGCTCGGGACGACGACCCCTGACTAGTCGGCAGGCAGGGTCCGTTGGCGTTTTTTAAAATCCGTCTGTCTCTCTTCAGTCAAGGTTAGTTTCGCCTTGAATTCTAGTTATTTTTGAATAGTCACCAGAAAAACCATTGGCACAACTGAATTAAATCACAGTTTTCCCCCAACACCAGATGATTCGTGGAGGTTATCAAATGTGTAAACAATAACAAAACATTTTATTTATTGTGATAGGATATACGTCGGTTTTTTAGTTTTATATGTGAGGAGAGTGAACAGACGTCACTTTTACCTATTCTTTTCGAAACTATTTAGTTTTATTTTCCGGGAATGCATAAACACTCGCACAACCGGTGTATGCTGTTGCAAAAATGTGAAAGTAGTTGAAATAATTATTTTTTGTGATTATATATGGTGATTTGATCCAAGAGAAGTGATTCTAGAAGGTCAATAAGGAATTGTGGTGGGAAATATGGATTCATTACATGAGGATAATGATCTTCCAAAGGTAGGTTTTGTTTATGCAGAGAAGAACTATTTCTGATTTCTGGAACTGAGGAACTGAGGTATTAATTTTAGAATAGACAAAAATATTAATTCAAGAACCGCAAGGGTCTTATTTCAGGAAAGTTCTAAAATTAAAAAAAGTGTTCTCAGTTCTAGAATCAAATTGCCGTCACATAATTGAAAATTGTCCTCAAATTCCGAATTTTTTTTATCATAAACTAGAATTATAAATACCAGTGATATCTTATGCAATACTTGGAACAACAATGACTTCATTTTAGAATATCAAAAATCATTAATTCAAGAACTCTAAGGTTTTTATTGCAACAACGTTCTAAAATTTAAAAAGTGTTCTCAGTTTTAGAATCAAAATTGCCTTCAAATAATTGAAAATGTTCCCCAATTTAAGTACACCTACACTAGATTGCAGTAAAGATGACTGGAAATTAAAATTATTTCCCTGGTTTTACAATCAAATTGACTTAGAATAATTGAGAATTGTCCTCCAATTCTACATTTGTTTTATCATAATCTAGAATAATCATAAACTAGAATAAATACAAGAGATATCTTATACAATATTTGGAACATAAATCACTTAATTTTAGAATATAAAAAATCATTGATTCAAGAACCCCTAAGTTCTTATTCCAAGAACATTTTAAAATTTAAAAACTGTTCTCAGTTCTGGAACAAAAATTGCCTTGAAATAATTGAAAATGTTCCTCAATTTAACTACAATTACACTAGATTGCACTACAAAATAGCTGAAAATGAGAACTTTTTTCCTCGTTTTTAAACCAAATTGACATTCAGGATTTTTTATCTTAAACCAGAATAATAAATCCAAGAGACATCTTATGCAATACTTGGAACAGGAGCGAATTAATTTTAGAATAGTCAAAAACATCAATTCAAGAACCCCAAGGTTTTCATTTCAAGAACATTCTAAAATTAGAAAAATGTTCTTAGTTCTAGAACCAAAATTGTCTTGAAATAATTGAAAATTCTCCTCAGTTTAAGTGCAATCCCCCTAGATTCGAGTAAAGATAACTGAAAATAAGAACTCTTTTCCTAGTTTTCAAAACAAATTGACTTGGAATAATTGAAAATTGAGAATTCAAATGTAGAATTTTTTTTTCTCATAAAATAGAATTGTTTTCTTATTGTATTTCTAAAAAAGTAACGTGGATCCTAATCATGTCTGAATTTATTTTGTTATTCTATTTTAGAAGCGAACTCGAACATTTCAAAGTAAGCAGAAAATTGCGGACAACGAGGCGAAGAAGATCCTGAGAGACTTCGATCCCCAGCGCAGTGAACGAGAAAAACGTAAGAATACCCAGCAGATACGAAGACTCTACCCAGGAAGCAAGAAACACGTGCTGTACGATGAGTCGGGAATCTTCATGCAGAATGGAATGAATCTTTGTGATTGTCTACGACAGGATTGTCCTGGTTGTCATTATCCCTGCCCCAAGTGTGGCTCCACCAAGTGTGGACATGAGTGCAGGTGAGTGAATTTTACATTAACGTCTTTGAGAACCGAAGATGATTACATCCAAAGGGATCAGAGGAGACGGCAATGAAACCGAAAATTACCCGAGTAAAATTGAACGATATTTTTTTTTCATTTTGAAGGAATTTTTGTGGGTCGTAAAACTAGACTCTATTCATCGGAAATTATATCAGAAAATATTGATTATTCAGAGTTTCATTTTCCCCACTTTTACCTATTTTAATTGAATGCCCTATGTTAGACTTAAATAAATGGGTTTATTCAAATAGCTCATAAATATTAAGTAAATAATACAAAAAACATTAATACATGTTCTTTTCATCGAAATAGCGACTTTACTAGTTAGAAATGAAATCAATGAATTTATCATCATGTAATAATTTTTCATTGCGATCAAATAAATCATTTATTTTATACTTATTAATAATAATAATAGAATCTAAAAAGTGTATCGCAGATTTTTGCACAAATATTAGTGAAATTTCAAATTTTGCTGATAGTTTATGAATATATTCTTGAATTTTCGTCATTGTGAATGCATAAATGGTGAAAATCCCTCGTGAACCTTTGAAAATCATAAATCACTATAAGTTCTCCGTAGCATATACTCTAAAATTGGACTTAAAAAAATTTTTGATATTCATCTAAAACCATTAACCAGAATTTTCCCGACGAAAGAGGGCCGTTCAAGGACTCTGATATCCTAGATAAAAACCAGTAATTAATTCCCCTGCCCCTCGAGCACCAGAATCCCTCTACAGAGATCATAATTAAAACCATTCAATTTCGGCTCTTGTTTCATGTATCAGACTTTTCCAAGACATTTCCAAGAATTTGTCTCAGAAATTTCAATACAATTTTGAAATTCTGTGCAACAGGAGGACAATAATTCCCCAACTGGCTTAAATTTTCAATCAGAACATGAATATTCAACAATATATTTATGAATTTTCTTCATGGTGAATGCATAAACGCATAAATGCATAAAATCACATGAAAAATGATGAAAATCACATGAAAATGTTTAAATACCAAAACGACTGCAAGCTTTCTCTACCATATACTCTAAAATTCGACTTGAAAAAAGCTTTGATATTCCCCTAAAACCCCTAACCAGAATTTTCCCGACGAAAACGTTTCGTTCGAGGCCTCTGATATCCTAGATAAAAACCAGTAATTAATTCCCGTGCCACTCTAGCACCGGAATTCCTCCACAGAGATCATAATTAAAACCACTCAATTTTGGCTTTTATTTCATGTATCAGACTTTTCCAAGACATTTCCAAGAATTTGTCTCAGAAATTTCAATACAATTCAATACAATTTTGAATTTCTGTGTACACAGAGAGCAAGAATTCCCCAACTGGCTTAAATTTTCAATCAGAACATGAATATTTAACAATATCTTTATGAATTTTCTTCATGGTGAATGCATAAACGCATAAATGCGTAAAATCACATGAAAATGTTTAAATACCAAAACCACTGCAAGCTTTCTCTACCATATACTCTAAAATTCGACTTGAAAAAAGCTTTGATATTCCCCTAAAACCCCTAACCAGAATTTTCCCGACGAAAACGTTTCGGTCAAGGCCTCTGATATCCTAGATAAAAACCAGTAATTAATTCCCGTGCCCCTCGAGCACCGGAATTCCTCCACAGAGATCATAATTAAAACCACTCAATTTTGGCTTTTATTTCATGTATCAGACTTTTCCAAGACATTTCCAAGAATTTGTCTCAGAAATTTCAATACAATTCAATACAATTTTGAATTTCTGTGTACACAGAGAGCAAGAATTCCCCAACTGGCTTAAATTTTCAATCAGAACACGAATATTCAACAATATATTTATGAATTTTCTTTATGGTGAATGCATAAACGCATAAATGCGTAAAATCACATGAAAAATGATGAAAATCACATGAAAATGTTTAAATACCAAAACCACTGCAAGCTTTCTCTACCATATACTCTAAAATTCGACTTGAAAAAAGCTTTGATATTCCCCTAAAACCCCTAACAAGAATTTTCCCGACGAAAACGTTTCGTTCAAGGCCTCTGATATCCTAGATAAAAACCAGTAATTAATTTCCGTCCTCCTCGAGCACCGGAATTCCTCCACAGAGATCATAATTAAAACCACTCAATTTGGGCTTTTATTTCATGTATCAGACTTTTCCAAGACATTTCCAAGAATTTGTCTCAGAAATTTCAATACAATTCAATACAATTTTGAATTTCTGTGTACACAGAGAGCAAGAATTCCCCAACTGGCTTAAATTTTCAATCAGAACACGAATATTCAACAATATATTTATGAATTTTCTTTATGGTGAATGCATAAACGCATAAATGCGTAAAATCACATGAAAAATGATGAAAATCACATGAAAATGTTTAAATACCAAAACCACTGCAAGCTTTCTCTACCATATACTCTAAAATTCGACTTGAAAAAAGCTTTGATATTCCCCTAAAACCCCTAACAAGAATTTTCCCGACGAAAACGTTTCGTTCAAGGCCTCTGATATCCTAGATAAAAACCAGTAATTAATTCCCGTGCCCCTTGAGCACCGGAATTCCTCCACAAAGATCATAATTAAAACCACTCAATTTTGGCTTTTATTTCATGTATCAGACTTTTCCAAGACATTTCCAAGAATTTGTCTCAGAAATTTCAATACAATTCAATACAATTTTGAATTTCTGTGTACACAGAGAGCAAGAATTCCCCAACTGGCTTAAATTTTCAATCAGAACACGAATATTCAACAATATATTTATGAATTTTCTTCATGGTGAATGCATAAATGCATAAATGCATAAAATCACATGAAAAATGATGAAAATCATGATAAATGATGAAAATCACATGAAAATGTTTAAATACCAAAACCACTGCAAGCTTTCTCTACCATATACTCTAAAATTCGACTTGAAAAAAGCTTTGATATTCCCCTAAAACCCCTAACGAGAATTTTCCCGACGAAAACGTTTCGGTCAAGGCCTCTGATATCCTAGATAAAAACCAGTAATTAATTCCCGTGCCCCTCGAGCACCGGAATTCCTCCACAGAGATCATAATTAAAACCACTCAATTCCGGCTTTTGTTTCATGTACCAGAATCCACCGAAGATGGGCATACGAATGCATAGAGAATGAAGGCAGTGACACCGTGACAAAAAATCGCGATGTGAAGAAGACATTCTAACAATTTACACGTCATAATCCACCGATTAACCCAGCGACGATAAATCCACGAGCGTAAAAATAATAATTGTGAAATACAAAATTACAACCACATGATTATTGTACCCTCAGGACTCAGTCACAAAATTGTTACGATACTAGAATAAATAATAAATTCGGGATTATTTAAGCAAAACATCAATGTATTTGTGTACATCTTGTTGATCACTGACACCCTAATGTTGGTCTATTGATTTTCAAAGCCGCGACGCGTTATCCGCTGACGAGGGTAGTGCGCACGTAACCGCGCACACAGGCGCACATGCAAACCCTCTAGCATTGCGACTGACAGCGATTGAAGTGAGGGTGTGCGGTGCTGTTCTTTTCCCTATATCTGCAATACTGAGAATAATCTCAAGACCTCGTTCCCTTCAATACGGTAAATTCAATCGAGAGATTAAATTAATTCCCAAAAATTACCACTCACTGGGTCGAGTGATCAATCAAAGCCCCGACTATATCGATATTTCTGTTTTCTGTAGGGCTTACAAAACACTACTTAACTGTTACTTGCAACAAAAATAACAACGAAACGTCTACGCAACTTATTGGGCATTAAAATAACCGACTAATTAATTAAATCCGAGGAATGCCAGAGTAATACCGTTAAATAATCGAGAATAGCTGATTAAAATAGTTGTGAATGGAGATAGTGGTGGGTGATAATAGTGTGTACGAGTGGTACGATTGATCTCATCAATTTTCACCCATTTAACGAGCATTGTTCCTGGAAATAACGAGGGAAAATTGAGCTGACAGTCGTCTGTCGAGCATCAGCGGAGTCTGATTGATCGCCCAAAGTTGTCGTAATAGGATAATTAGCCGCAAAACAAGCGTGTCTCAGCGGACTTTCCTACCCTTCATCATTGGTTATGGTGAATCAGTTGGTCTTCGAGACGACTTCACATCTCCGAGCAACGGGCAATTCATTATCATTGACAAATTAATACACGAAGATTGGGGGGGGAGAGGCTTTGATAACAGACAGCGTGGGATGTTTGCGCAAAACAGTTAAAGAGCAATGTGTGAGGAGGCGTTATAAAGGCCAAACTTGCATCATTTTCATTCACAAGTTGCGCCAAGTGGGAGGGCATCTCCCCGAAGAGCTACAAATCCTTACGTCGTGCTTGTCTCTCTATATAAGGCGGTTTATCGGGGTGATACGGTGGAATCTTGGCTTGATCGTCGAGTCGACATCAAGTCAACGCGTGTGATAACCGGCGAGCTCGCGGCCGGTCAATTCGGGGGGTCCCGGGGGGCTGTTTGATTTAAAATTCATCATCTAGGGACCCCGTTCACGGGGGTTTAATCATTCGCCACGGCAGATGTCAGGATGCCCGAACAAAGCAACGACTATAGAGTCGTCGTTTTTGGGGCCGGGGGTGTCGGCAAGAGTTCGCTGGTACTGAGATTTGTCAAAGGGACTTTTCGAGAGTCTTATATACCGACTATTGAAGATACTTATCGGCAGGTAAGTGCCTCGACGGGGGTGGCGGGGAGATGTGGCTTAATTACGGGGAGTGTTTGGGGGTGTTATTTACGTCAGCCGGGAAGTGGTGAAACGAAATTATTTAACGGCGGTTCGGGGGACGTTTGTTCGAGTTTTGTCGGGGATTCTACACTGTTGGAAAAATAAGAAAATTTCGGGGAGGGTGGGAGAGCGATGTTGAAGGCGATTTGGGGGAGGTGAATTAATGAGATTTAAAGTTTGAGTGAAAAGTCAAGGGAGTTGTGAATTTTTGAGCGGGAAGAGCAGGGTTCCAGGAGTTGGGTGAATTTTCAATGTGAATAGCAATATTTGATGCCGAACGACATTGAATTCGTAATCCATTGACAATTGAAGAATATGTTTATCGAAATTCTTATGATTTTTATCAATTTCATGGAATAATTCAACTGAATGTTACAGTTTCCATTGGTTTTTTTATCAAATTGCCCATTTTTAATTATGAAATTCCTTGAAATTCTGGTGAAAGTATCGCCTGCTAAAAATTTCTACAAAGTCTGTCGGAAGTTTCAGCCACAAATTCATAAAATCTCTAATTTTACTCGAAATTCAATGGGATTGCTGTACAAAGTGTCAAACTATACAGTGGTAATAAACATTATTATTCTTCAATGGGATTCTAAATGTTTAAGCTGCAGGAAAACGAGATTTCCCAAACTTACTTGAATTTTCAATTAAAATATGAATATTTTGCACCGAATTACGCTAAATTTTCAATTTATTAATTTCATCGAGTGAGTCTATTGAAATTGACGCTTGCGATTGATTTATTCATAAAACTGTCAATTTTTAATCACGAAATTCATCGAAATTTCGGTGGAACTGCTCAACAAAAATTTTCAACAATGTAGAGACAATGTCTGTAATATTGTGCACCAAAATCTCTATTCTGATAATTTCAAATAGATCAACATTTCCGTAAACAGCTGACGGAATCCATATAATTAAATTGCGTATTATTAATGAACAAACGATCTTGAAGTGAAATTGTCTAATCTCGTTTCATCAATTGCCACTAATATTTGTTATTGGATTGATTATTGTATAAATATCCCATGACTCTTTATGGTTTTAAGGTATATCCCTAGAAAACAGGTTCTCCTTCTACTTGCATGAATTGATAGAAAATTCATACCTAGGAGATGATAACATTGAGGAATGAATTGAATGTTGTTTTCTCGAATGGAGCCGATTTTTAAGTTTGTGTTGAATTGCCGCAATCTGTGATTCTGTTACTGTAAACTAATGCGATTTTGTCTAGTCAAGAAATATGAACTTCTTTCAACGCAACATCTTACTACAATCTCAAAGCTTTTTCCGCGTAACAATATACATCCTGATCCGACATACGAAGTGCTCACTTCAATTATAATTTACTTCACGTATGAAAAAATTCTATGGAGAATTCGAACATTTCCTATAGGATTTTTCTGGTGGGATTTCCTATAGGATTTTCTGTAGGATTTCCGCAAGTAATACCACGAGAGCTTCAGAATTATCACGAGTGCGAAGCACGAGTGATTTTTCCTGAAAAACTTGACGACTTCGTTTGTGTGCAGGGAACCTTGAGGGAATTACTCGATTAATTTTGAAGCTCGAGTAGTATTCAGGAGGGAATTTTCCCATCCAAATGTCGGCCAAAAGAATTGCACTATGAGAAAAAATCCATCTGACAGTTCCAACCAGGGGTTCACTCGACCACGGAATCTTTTGTTTTCCACAAATATAGTCAACATGAAAAATTACCAGTTTAATTATCAAAAATTATCAGCTGAATACCGTGTTGACTGTATGAAATAACAGTCGAATAGTGCAATTCTATTAGCTGATATTTGGATGAGGAAAATTCCCTATAGAATTCATTATAGGGTTTTCTATAGAATTCACAATAGGGTTTTCTATAGAAAGTAACACACAAAATTGAGACTCGAAAATAATCGGTCACAAGGGCCAGGATTAGGGTCATAAATCTGATAGGAAATTCTGTAGGGAATCCTATAGGAAATCCGATAGAAAATCCTATCACAAAAATCCTATAGGAAACGTTCGAATTCTCCATAGGATTTCCCATAGGAAATCCTATAGCATTTTTTCATACGTGTTGGAACAACGTATGATCGTCTCGATTGAGATAGCAACGTATTTAGTCATGAGAATAATTTTTATTTTTGAGAAAACCACCGAATTTCTGGAGTTAGCAAACTTTTGGCTAGAAATAAATCAAATACTCTCATTATTGTGACAAATAAAAGGAACTTCAGTTCTAGAGAAGTTCGATTTCTCCCAATTAAATGTATCCCAAGAAGAGATAACTGGTACTAACTATGAAATCATACTAATTTAAAAATTAACCACCAAATAATAGTCGATTCAAATAAGTTTCTCTTGATAAAATTAATTTTTTCTGTCAGTGTAGGCCAAACGGGGGTTATAGGTTCCCCCAAACTTGATTTTTCCATCTTATGAGAAAATGGTTCTTACGATGTTTTTAAAAAACTAATTCCTGATAGATTCATAAATTCCGAATCCGGGGAATTTTTTGTAAAATTTTATAGTCCATAGTTTCTGCGATATTCGACTCTAAAAAATGCACATTTTGTGAAATCATTTCTTATTTGATTCGAACAGGTATTGTTGCTTTCATGAACAACATACCAGGCCAGAGAAACTCAATAGCTTATGAGAATGCAGTAAATTGAGTCATTTAGAATTTTCCCCGGAAATCCATATGCACACGGAGAGAAATATTCAAGAAAAATTACGGAACGTGTTGTTAAAATCTCCCCCTCACGGTGACTCATGGCTAGCCGTGAGGCGTCGGACGGATGAGTAATTTTTACGGAACAGATCGTAGAATTTACGTGACGATTGACACTTTTTATTGAATTTTACTTCGCTTCCAGATTACGTTTCGAAACGTAACGTTTACGTCTTTTTTCTGGTAATTTTTATTGAATATTTCTCTCCGTGCACTGACTTTTGGATGATAATTTCTTGGGACATACCTTAAGTTATAACCGCTAGTTCCGTAAGGAGTCATTGCCCTAAAGCTGTACCCTACTATTAATTTTCCAATGGTTATGATTATCCTGTGCTAATACCTCATTACGCATTGACTGGGAACTGACTTGGAACCTGTGCTGTATACCCTATGCGATATGTGTGCCTTTGAATCATTAATTCAAGGATGTATTGCACCATTAGTAGTGCCAAGTGGATTTATACCCTTCAGGCAGATTATATACTCTCAATTTATGACCATTAGCATTCCCTCCCTCGAGAGGCCAACGTTCCTCCATAAGAGTCGCAATAATCGAAGATATTTTAATGCAGTTATCCCCTTGAAAACTTGAAATGGATCTTTGTCAGAGTTAAGAGGTTCCTCTCAAGGGCTCAAAGACACTGGGGCATTAAGAAATCTCTCGAGACACAGGCGAGACCTGAATCGATTGTGTTAAAAATTATGAAGCGCATGAAAGTCGCTCAGAAAATTGGACGGAACTGCTTTAATTAATTTACAGAAGCGTTATGAAGGCTTCTCGTGTCTTGTTGTGTACTTTTGAGCTACCTTACAAGACGGTAACAATGTATTACTATGAGAAATCGATTGTCTGTGTCTAATGCCACTTGTTGACTTCATGGAGTTGCCTCGAGCGTTTTTGTGTTTTCCTTAATCTTCTTTTTTTTTATCGTTGTTAATCTTTTTTGATCTCTCCGCTCCAATTGTCCTCAATGAGTTTCAATGATAACTTGTCTGTGATGTAAAGGAAATGTGGATAACAATTGCACCCGTAAAGACTGTTAAGTTGAATCTCCGAAGAAAATGCTTTAAATTCGAAGTTACAAATTGTCATGAAGTAGAAACTGAATTTCCCGGAGGGATTGAGCTTTTATGCTGAATTGTTCAGAAAAAGTAAAATCTGTAGACTTCGTTTTATTGGAGTAAAATACCACTAGTTCGCTGGAAAGAATGAGAAGTGAGTCTGAATATTCAGAAGAATGGGAAGTTCCATTCAGGACTATGAATATTCAATTCTGCTAGTGAAATGGACTGATTGGGAAAAAGTAGATGAAAAATTAAGGAAAAATTCAGGAGTTTCTGGAGAATTTGTAATGAATGTTCAGTGTTGTGTAAAAAATGTTCTGTTTGTTGGCAACGTTTATTCACCATCTATGAAAAACGTTAATAGAGAAATCTAACAGATTCGCTAGACAATTCTATTGGATTTCTATTGAGCTTTCTATTATTCAATAGGAAAATAATTTATAGAAAAATTCAATAGAATTCGATTTTTCTGGACAACTTGTTCTATTGCGATATTTTCTACAGAATTTCCGAAGTTTTTTTGTTTGATTTTCTTGACGATAAGAAAAGATATATAGAATGAAAAAAAGAAAATTTGAGGCGAGGAAATTCTACAGAAAATATTGCAAGAGAATTGTCTAGCGAATTCGCCAGGTTTTCCTATTAAATCTTTTCGTGCGTGATCTTGTAAATTTTCTATTGGAATTTTTTTTTCTGTTGAAAAACCTAAACTCTTCTAGCAATTTATTGTATTTTATATCAATGTGTCTGTGTTTTTCTCGTTCTTCTTCAATCTCTTCGTCCCATTTCTTCTTAATGAGTTTCAATGGTAACTTGTTCATTATATAAAGTAAAGAAAAGATTTAAGTGATTAGAAACGCTTTCATTTCGAGGTTCCAATGAATTCTCGGATTTTCACAGAAAATTGTTATTAATTAGAAACTAAATCTCCAGAGAGATTGGATTTTTCTGTTGGATTGTTCAGAAAAATTGAAGCCTCTCCAATTTTGTGGGATTCCAGGAAAATGTGACGTATTTTCTCGTAAAAATGAAATAGTCAGAAAATTGTAAAAGTGTGAGAAATTCAATTTGAAACAATGAATGTTTAATTCGCGAAATTAACTCATCGAGCAGTGAAATCACGCGAAAAATCCCTCCTTTTGAACAATTTAACATAAACATTCTCGCCTCCATGCAAAATGTTCCATTTTTTGGTACTTTTCGTGACAATTCAGAGACTTGGCTTAAAATCCGAGGATTTTCAGTGTATTCAATCATTGAGAGCTTTCGATTAAGGCGAAAACAGTCAACAAATGAATTAGTCTGCTGAATCGTTCATGAAAATCAAAAGCTCACCGATTTTGTGGTATTGCCGTAAAATTCAATGTATTTTCTCATAAAAATGAAATAGTTAGAAAATTGTAAAAGTGTGGGAAACTCAATTCGAAACAATAGATGTTTAATTCGCGAAATTAACCGGTCGAGCTGTGAAATTACACGAAAAATCCCTCGTTTTGAATAATTTAACATAAACATTCTCTCCTCCATGCAAAATGTTCCATTTTTTGGTAATTTTCGTGACAATTCAGAGACTTGGCTTAAAATCCGAGGATTTTCAGTGTATTCAATCATTGAGAGCTTTCGATTGAGGCGAAAACAGTCAACAAATGAATTAGTCTGCTGAATCGTTCATGAAAATCAAAAGCTCACCGATTTTGTGGTATTGCCGTAAAATTCAATGTATTTTCTCATAAAAATGAAATAGTTAGAAAATTGTAAAAGTGTGGGAAACTCAATTCTAAACAATAGATGTTTAATTCACGAAATTAACTGATCGAGTTGTGAAATCACGCAAAAAATCCCTCCTTTTGAACAATTTAACATAAACATTCTCTTCTCCATGCAAAATGTTCCATTTTTTGGTAATTTTCGTGACAATTCAGAGACTTGGCTTAAAATCCGAGGATTTTCAGTCTTTCAAATCATTGAGAGCTTTCGATTAAGGCGAAAAGAGTCAACAAATGAATTAGTCTGCTAAATCGTTCATGAAAATCAAAAGCTCACCGATTTTGTGGTATTGCCGTAAAATTCAATGTATTTTCTCATAAAAATGAAATAGTTAGAAAATTGTAAAAGTGTGGGAAACTCAATTCTAAACAATAGATGTTTAATTCACGAAATTAACTGATCGAGTTGTGAAATCATGCAAAAAATCCCTCCTTTTGAACAATTTAACATAAACATTCTCTCCTCCATGCAAAATGTTCCATTTTTTGGTAATTTTCGTAAAAATTCAGAGACTTGGCTTAAAATCCGAGGATTTTAAAGCGAGAACAGTGAACAAATGAATTTGTCTGCTGAATGGTCCATAAAAATGAAAAGCTCACCGATTTTGTGGTATTGCCGTAAAATTCAATGTATTTTCTCATAAAAATGAAATAGTTAGAAAATTGTAAAAGTGTGGGAAACTCAATTCTAAACAATAGATGTTTAATTCACGAAATTAACTGATCGAGTTGTGAAATCACGCAAAAAATCCCTCCTTTTGAACAATTTAACATAAACATTCTCTTCTCCATGCAAAATGTTCCATTTTTTGGTAATTTTCGTGACAATTCAGAGACTTGGCTTAAAATCCGAGGATTTCCAGTCTTTCAAATCATTGAGAGCTTTCGATTAAGGCGAAAACAGTGAACAAATGAATTTGTCTGCTGAATCGTTGATAAAAATGAAAAGCTCGCCGATTTTGTGGTATTTCCGGAAAATTTTAAGGTATTTTCTTGTAAAAATCAAATAGTCAGAAAATCGTAAAAGTGTGAGAAATTCAATTCGAAACAATGAATGTTTAATTCACGAAATTAACCGGTCGAGCTGCGAAATCACGCGAAAAATCTCTTCTTTTGAACAATTTAACATAAACATTCTCTCCTCCATGCAAAATGTTCCATTTTTTGGTAATTTTCGTAAAAATTCAGAGACTTGGCTTAAAATCCGAGGATTTTAAAGCGAGNGTATTCAATCATTGAGAGCTTTCGATTGAAGCGAAAACAGTGAATAAATGAATATTTTTAGGTGATTAGCTGTAATAAAAATATATGCACCCTTCAAATAACGGATACAACGGGGTCCCATCAGTTCCCCGCAATGCAGCGTCTTTCGATAAGCAAAGGTCACGCTTTCATCCTGGTATATTCAGTTTGCTCACGACAGAGTCTCGAGGAGCTTAGACCAATATGGGCAGTGATACGTGAATTAAAAGGCCAGGATATCTCGCAAATACCGATAATGCTGGTAAGAAAGTGCTTCTGACACATAAAGATTGTTATTTTAAGAGTTGTGATAAGGTTTTACGTTTCAACTTGGAAGTAATTTTGATTAAAGGGAATATAAGAGCTTGGGCTCTTTGAGTGGGACGAGTGCCTCAAGGTTTAGGATTAAAATAATTAGCAACAAGTGCATTTAAGGTTTCGCTTAAAAATAACAGGCTTTTCCAAGGCTTTGGCGTGGAAAAGCTGTCGTTCCTATGACGTTCAGAAAGCGGAATAATGTTGATCATGCAGAGGGAGCGCCCTTGTGGCATTTCCGCGCCATAGGGTAGTCAAAGACTTTGATGATGAGCCCTACGTCATCATGACAATCTTTCTTTTTTTTTCTTGGAAATGATCCGTGTGGGAGGGAAACGAAATAAGGGAATTTTTCTTTATTGTCGGGTTCTGATAGGCGATGCATTGAGAGAAAAATATTTTCTCGAATAAGTCTTGTTCACGGAGAGAAATATTGAATCAAAATTACGTATCTTTTCCGTAATTCCGGAGCGAAATGTTGTTGTAGGAAATTTTACGGAACTGTCACGGAATTTTTCCGGAGCGTTCCGTAATTTTTATCTGAATCTCTTGTGAAAAATTACGATACCGTCACTTAAATTTTCTGAGTCGATTCCGTAATCGGTGAGTGAAGTGAGAGTTCTGTAATTTTTACTGAACATTTCTCTCCGTGTTTGAACCCGCCCAAGTGCCCTGAGATGTTTTTAATACGGCTGTGCACCCTTTGGGATATTTCTCAATTCATGAATATTTTTTTGTATTTTCATAAATAAGGGAATGCCGCACAAAAAAATTGAATAGAAAAACGTAGCGAATTCGCTAGGCAATTCTGTTGAATTTCTACTGAATTTTCGATTAGTTTTTGGCAGATTCTATTGAAATGTTCAATGGAAAATATTCCATAAAAATCATTAGAATTCGATTTCTTTGGAGAATTTTCTCGGTTCAAATTTTCCAAAGTTTTCTCATTTCATTTTTCTTTTCTTTTCGTCAAGAAAATCAAACAATAAACTTGGAAAATTTAAGCCGAGGAAATTCTATAGATAATATCTGAATAGAATAAGTTGTATAGAAAAATTGAATTCTTTTGACCTTTTCTATAGAATATTTTCTATTCAATAGAATTTTCAATGCGCGGAGAGAACTATTCAGTAAAAATTACGAAACAATTCACGTAACCCGCAATGGGGAATCGTTTTCCGACAATTTTTATAGGAATGGAAGGGAAGAAATCTGAAACGTTCAGTGAATTTTCAAGTTCATCACCGAACAAAGTACGAAATTGTCACGTAATTTTTCGCGAAAAGTAAAATCTTACAGAAATTTGCCGACTTATTATGCCTCCAAAATCACAAATTCATCAACGCTCAACAATTTTTATGAAGCTGGTGAGTTATTTCTACGTTCGGTTTCGTAATATTTCTCAATCGTTGGGGAAAAATTACGGAACGACTTGCTGTCCCGACAGCGGTGAATCGTCAGACGGGTGGTTAATTTTTACGGAACAAATCATAGAAATTACATGGCGATTCGTACAATTTCAGTTCCGACTCACATTTTTTATTGAACTTTACTTCGTTCACAAATTCCGTTTTGAAACGTAATTTTTACGTTTTTTTTTCTGGTAGGGTAATCTGCCCAGTAGATGGACGCCTAAGAAAACCACCCAGTAGATGGACGTTTATTTTTTAGCAATTGAAAAAAAAAATTGATCGAAAAAAAAACGTCACACAGGGGTTAACAATCACAACAATTAGTGAAAATTCAAAGCAACAATTCACATTTCAATATTTTTTTGCGTAATTTCCTATCCAAAAATAGCTCGTCCATCTATAGGGCAGTGTCCATCTACTGGGTAGCTTACCCTAATTTTTATTGAATTTTTCTCTTCATGTAGAATTTCAATAGAACTGTCCAGCGAATTCGCTAGGTTTTCTTAAATTTATTCATACGTGTGATTTAGCTCAAAAGAAATTTCTTGAATTCCACATATGAATCAGAGAATTGACGAATACCTTCATCTCAAATCAAAGTGAAGATCACAATGTTAACAATTATTTTTCACCCCTCAATTACTTTTCCTAAAATTTCCAACAGTTCATTTTTATAATTTTCTCTCAATGCATACTGCGACAGTTTCACCGTGGCAGCACATTAATTCCTCTGAAATTTTCCTCTTCGCGTTGAAAATTGTCGCTTGCACATGTACATGATGCTAAATTGCTTCCCTTCCAATCCGGAATTCATCACACCTTGTAATTACGACAGGTCGGCAACAAGTGTGATGAGGAAACGTTGCGAGAAGTAGCAACGAGTGAGGGTAAAGCTGAGGCAGACAGCTGGGGATGTGGCTTCCTCGAGACATCGGCAAAGACAAATCACAATGTTAATGAACTCTTTCGAGATTTGTTGACACTCGAGAAGAATCGTGCGGTATCACTGCAACCGGTTTCAAGCAACAGTGCGATAAGCCTTAAGGAGAAATGTGCCGTTATGTAAATTTTAATATTTCAATTAGAGCATAAATTATTTAATTTAGATAATTCTTAAGTTATTTAAGTACGAAGGTATTAATAAATTAATGAATTGATGCATTGAGAAACTGACGCGTTGCCCACGATCTATCGTCCTCACCAACGTCTTCACGGAGAAAATCACTCGACTCTAAGCGATAATAATAAATTATAAACAGGATAACAATAATAATGATAATAAGATGAGTATTATTATCGAGTAACAATAGGGAATAACGAAACGACGATTTATCGGTGTATTCATCACGTGGTAGATGTAGACCCGGCACATTAAAATCAATCGTCATTGTCATGGTAACACAATCGTCTGAGTAACTGCACTGACTGAAAGAAAAATTATCGAGCAAGTTTTAGTTGCGTAAACAAAATTCTCACGTTGATGATCATCAAGTCTTAAACAATCAATTTATCCATTTATTATTTATTTATGTATTTATACACGAAGAGGAATTCTCTAGAAAAATTCTAGTGCTAGCACGTAAATTTTTCCTGCTCTTACATGAAATTTTTACAGAAATGCCCGGAAAGTTTATGGGAAATCCGTAGAAATTTTACCTTGAGAGCACTGGAATTTTTCATAGTCGATGGATTGAGATTTTTTCTAGTAACAGCATTAGAATTTTTCTAATTTTCTCTCCGCGTAGTTGGCTTTCTCAAGCTCGCCCCTTTCGGGGCTCGGGTATTCGAAGAACGGGCGGCTAGAGGTTGCCCCTTCCCTACGCGCAAGGGGCGGGTACTGCAAGAGAGTCCCAGTGACTATCCAAGCGAGAACGCTATAGAGGCATTCCACGCTATTTCAATAGAAAACATTTTTTTTCAAAAGTTCCAGAAAATATAAAATTGGAGGTGTCACTGGATGAGTAATTGTTTATAACATCATAACTCCAGAAATATTGATTGTATCGAAAAAATTATGAAGTCCTTTTTTATTGCTGAAGGGTGATAGATTCACATAAAAATTTTATTTTTGCAAAAAAGTCCAATTTACAATACCTTTGTTAATAAACCATATGGGAAGTTGCTAAAAAACGTGCAGGTCTCAAAAAATCCGAAAAAATTATGTGATAGAGTGTACATCAGAGAATTCACTGAGATATTAATTATTTCGTGAGACCGCGACAGATAAAGCGGAGTGGCAAGCTCGTGTCGGGAAAGTAAATATGTAATTATTCCCATTCGAATGCATTCTTTTTCTTTCTATCTGAAATCATGAGAAGTGCAGGAAAACAATAATAATTATATTTATTCATCCATATGTATACCCTCTCGGGTCTGTACATTTTGTGCCCATCCGTAGGAAAACAATAATAATTTATTGAAAAGAAAAATATCACAAAATGCTGTAGGTATTCAACGAAGTAGAATGCATTTTCAAGTTATTTTACAATATTTCCATGTCCGCGTCTGGAAATTTTTGTAGGTTTAAATGAGACAATCTTGACCTTGGTAATCATCAAAAAACAGTATTGTTGATGCAAACAACTTTAAATCGATGATTTTTTTTTCCCTCAGTGTCAAAAGTCATCTTATTCCGAAAAAAAAACACATCATGACATGAGAATAGTCTAAGTTCATGAATACAAAGAATAGGGATTAAATTCTTACTGCAAATTTGTGTGCCTATATCTGTATTAACAATTGAGTGGGCTAGTAAACACATGCTGCATTACTCGATAAAAGTTCGATCATAATTCACAATTCGCGAGATGGACGTTACAGTTTTTTACGCTTTTAAATGATTCGAATTGTTTTGCATGAATGTGAACAAAATAAATGAGAATATTCAGGTCAAAATGGACGTGAATTTTGCTGGGGACGAGCTGTCGTCGGCCGGGCGTTGGTTGAATTATTTGGATGAAAATAAAGGTGAAAAATAGTTACATTTATATATAGTTATTATTATGCATGTTAGGTCACTTGACACATCTTTCATCTGAAGTTGATCCATTTAGTATTGTTCGGGTAAATTGTCAACGACATTTGTCTTTTCAAATTATAGTTTTCGAATTGCTCCCATCATGTGGTGGGGGGTAAGATTTTTTTTAAGGGTAATTAGAGGAATTCGACGTATTCTATTGGAAATAAATTATGGATTTATCATTGTCTATTCTGTGATGACAACGCATTCGCTCTATTTTGGTGCACGGAGAGAAATTTTTTAGAAAAATTCGAGTGCTAGCACGGGAAAAGAGGCGGCCAGGAAAAATTCCAGTGCCGATACTAGAAATTTTATTGGGGAAAACGTCAATTTTTCCTCGTGTTTTTGCGAAAATTTCACAGAAGTACCAAGAAATTTTACCTTAACAGCACTAGAATTTTTCACAGCCGTTGGATTGTGATTTTTTCCAGCACTCGTACTAGAATTTTTCTAGAAAATTTCTCTCCGTGTGTTTGTCCTTCGATTTAGTAATGTAATGGTTTATTAAATAATGATATAGAATTAAGGATATTCAAGTGCCGTAATTAAAGTAAATTTTGCGACTTCAAACATAGGCTAATTTAGACAATTTGAGGTCCGTCAAGAGATCAAAAATTGATAAATCACGTAAATACGCCAACGATGGGTTTTATACCTAAAAAAATATATGAATTATGGGAAAATAATGATTTGAAGCGGAAGGAATGAAGGAAAAAATTGTAAAATGACGAACAAGTGGGATACAGCCCAAACACCCAATAGATAGACGGTCATATTTAATGGTTATTCAAACAAATTCATCCTACTGCATGTTTAAAAATGAAGAATGATCCCTTTTAATAATAATAATCGAACAGGTACCCTGTTTATTTGTCCTGATGACTGTTTTTCCACACCGCCACTGAGGGCCAATATTGCTGTACCTCACGAGAATTTGTCCTTTCTACGTTCAAAATGTTCATAAAAAAAAAAAAGAAAATCGTCGTATTATTATACATTAGTTTTATTATCAAAAATAGAAATTTGGAATATAATTTCTATTATATTTTTTATAGAATACTAAAAAAATGTTGAAATCATTCATCTTTTGGTCGGTGTCTACCTATTGGTGTGGTTACTCTACTCTTTTAATGTGTAAATCATGAACATTGTAGACATCTTGTTGTGATTTGAAAAAAATTATTTTTAATTTGTCCAAAGGGTTGGGTCCTGTTTTTCAGTGATATTCTCTGCAAATATTGTTGGGAATTTATTGTCTATTGGGAAATCATATATTTCTATAAAAATTCGGGTAATTCTTTCGCATGATTTTATAGAAGTGTTATTATTTGATAGAAAAAAGGAATCGATCCCTGTTGTTATTTTTCCTATAGAAATTCCTGGGTATAAATTTTCTATTTGTTTTTGTCCTGAATTTTGTATTGCAGTACAAAAAACAATACAGTAAAATAATGATTTCTAATTTATGCCCAGACATTTCAGAAAAATCGGAATCTGCTGAATTTTTATAGAAAATTTCCCAAAATCTAACAAAATTCCTAATAGAATCTCTTTCTGCTTGCGTGGAAAAAACGATTGATCATAAATTATTCATGAAAAAAAGATTATAATTTAGATAAATTATAATTTTTTAATCTTTTCATGAATCGTCCCCAGAAGTTGGACTATTTAATTTTGTCAGATTTTCACAATGATTCTCAACGGTGCAAAATGGGGATTAAATTGAGATCTTCAAATTTTCAATAACAATGAAATTCTAAAAAGTCCTGTAACTCGGGATCAAACGACAGCTTTCATTTAAACTAAAACAAAGAAGGAATTTGAATGAAAAAAATTGTAAAAGTACTTGAATATCCTCAATTTCCTGACTGTTTTCAACGATGAACTTAAGTTCGATATGTAATAATTGTATTATTGACGATTTCAATAATTTTATGGAATATATTTATCCCAATTTCAACGCACAAATGAAATAACTTGCATCAAATGAACTGTTTCCCCGTGTTTCGTTATCACAGAATAGATTCGTCGAAGAATTCGGCTGACAACATGAGTAAAACCCAATTGATAGTAAAAATAATAAAAATTCTTGATAAAAATTGAATTAACGAAGCAACAAAACAAACGTACGATGAGTACTCACAATGATGTGCATATTATATGTAAGAATTGTTACGAAAAATTGGTTTTTGTTGAATAGTTGTAAGATTTTTCTAATAAATGGTACTAGAAGGGATCATCGTCATTCTAGGTGGAAGAGAAATTTATGAGACCATCCAGAAGCAATTTATTCATTAAAAATGGCATTGGATTATAAATTAGAATATATTGAGATTTTAAAGCAGTTGACATTACTGTGGCCTGTTCAAGACACGAGTATAAAAAATGAAGATAATTTTTTTTATGTCCCATATAGTGTTTGAAAATTCATGCGTCATGAATGTGAAGTTCCAGATCATTTTTTGGTCAGTTTCTGATTTTTAGGAGATAATATTAGTCGACGCTGAAGTGTCATTCGTCAGACTCTTTCTCGCTTCGTATTTCGTAAAATGTTTCAGTGGTGAAGGGCTAAGGCACGAGCAGTCAGTTGCAGTTTCGAGTTGTGTTTTGGAGAGTATCTGGGAATTTTTGCGAAATTTTTATTGGAAACGATATGAGGTATTCCATACCCAATGAGTCAAGGGCTGATCCTCGTCCTTTTGGAAATTGATTTGGATTTTTTTCTACGATTGGGGGGCTAGAAAAAGTATCTCTCAATTGTCATACAAGTTGGATTTATTATAGTAAATCTTCTGAAAGTGACATTGAATCGGATTTAGGGAAAAAATGGTTATGAAATTTCAATTTTTAAGTAGAATTCACGGAAATTCATGAGTTTTCCGTGGGAGTGAGATGAAAATTTCACAACTTGATTGAATTTCCGGTGGAACATGAATATTCAGAAACAAAATGACATGAATTTTCAATTTTTCCCTGAATTTTCCTGATTGGTCAGAAGTTTCACAGAATAATTGAGCTGAAAAATCAAATATTTTATTGATTTCCGG